CACTGGGGAACGTGAAGGAAACAAAAAAAGTAGTACAGTGACTATTGGCCACACTCATTATCTATTACGCGATAGATGCATGAGAAATTTTTTAATCATTCCATTGCATTCCGAATGTCTTCAAGGTTTTAAAGCTTCAGTGGAAGTTTTATTCCGAATAGGTGTGGCTGATGCTTGTGAATTTCTCAATCCTCCTGCTTTCACGTGCTTTCAACTGTCTAGTGAATTAGCTGATGTTTTGGAGTACGTTGAACAAGAAGAAAAGATGCTGTGTTTCTTGCTTAGCTGGCAAGCATTCTACTACTACTATACTATTGAAACACTTGATAAGAAATATATAGTATATGGGGTTTAACGACAACACTGCTTCTAAGTCTAAAACCATTGGAAGATTATTTCCCTTATTATTATTATTCTCTTTGGTTCTGAGTGGAACAAAGGGCTCCAACAACAACAACAACTTTTCAGCTACCACCACGATCGCTCATAATCTTTTATCTCCTCTTCGCACGATCTCCTTCATTTCACCCTAGGACTACCCACCTGTCGCTGCCTATTTGGAACTCCACTCGAAGGCCTGGAGTGCAATATCACTTTACAGTCTCCTCAATGTATGCCCAACCGATCCATCTCCTTTTTTCTCCCACATATTTGTTAAGCAATCAACACTCTTAGTTGGTTTGTTCTCACAATTTCTTGTTACCAATTCTTTCTGACTGGCCATTTAATCTTCACAATATGCAACCAGCGAAGTAGGCAGCTCTTGATAAAGGTCTGTAACAACTTGTTGGAAATTCTTCCAGTGATTGATACGCATTGCAAATTTCTGTCCTGTGTAAAAGAACTTAGTGACTTCAAATTTGTTCTGAAAATCCAGATCTTGGTGTTTATGCTGGCGCTGAGTAAGTGGAGAAGATTTCCAAACTGGTTTCAGGTTGATGAAGGTGTATCTTGCTTGCCTTTCCGAATCTGGTTGGCTGGCTGGCTGGCTGGTTGACTGGCTTCCACACCTTCAACCACTCCTACTGCCTGTGGTTGAAACGATGCTATCTAGCCAGATAAGCGAGGGCAGGAAGAAGTACTGGACAGCTGCTGTTTCATCCTAGTTTCATCGGTACGCACCCACTGGGATTCGAAACCACGACCTTCCGGTTACAAGGCAAGCTGGCTCGTATACCATTCAACCACTGGGACCCGATTCAATGGCTCATGAATTCTAACTTCTACCGGTTCATGATTTAGCACGACCGGAAGGTCCTGGGTTCGAATCCCAGTGGGTGCGTACTAATTCCCAAACTAGGATGAAACAGTAGCTGTCCAGTACTCCTTGGTTTTCAGTGGTTCTCTAACTGATATCAATCCTTGATCAACTCGTAAAAACATAACTAACCCTTACAAACCAAACTATAGAACATTTATTTTTAATGAAATCATATCAGAAAAAAAACACATTGATGATTGCAGCGAAGAAACATTTTTCACAGGTTTTCCAATAGTTCTTCTCTAACTAATGTCAGCTCATGATGAAATCCTGTAACCAATCAATCAAATCCCTACAAACCATTACTTAAACACATCATCAGCTAGGCTACAGATTCATAAAATAATATAAACATGGGATAAGAAAGTTTCATATTAACTATTTCTCGTCAGAGAACAAACTATAACAAATAACAAGATGAAATTATATCATATGAATAGGCATTAAAAGGGGACAATAAGAAAAATAAACAGGAAGTTCAGATAAAATCAGAATCATCGAATATTAATCGTTGAGAAGGTAGATTTCTTATGATGGCCATGGTATGTATGATGGTGGTCTGCGTATAACTTGAGCTAACCGAAAACGTTGACGTCTCTATTGCAGCATATATTTTCTCTCATTTGGTTTGTTTTAATCGATTAAGATATGACCCTTAAGAGTATTTTTATCTACTCTTGTGTGTAGTTAAAGCGTTTACAAGCTTCTGATTTTCAAGTTTTTGCTAAACTTCTGAAAAGGTCTGATTAAGGGTGGTGACATGTTCCAGTTTTCTGAGATAACTATTCTCTAGTTATGTTCTTTCGTCTCAAAATGTACTTCTGAACATTTCTTTTACAACTGGCTTTCAACCAGATATCGTGGATGGATTTCTTGAAGGAAGGAGACAAAGCAGATATGTGCTTCGTCAGCTCAGAGACCACTGTGTCCCTGGAGATACTGACAATTAATATTTCGATATTCAAGTGTCGGTTTGTAGGAATTTGGCTGATTGGTTACAGGATTTCATCGTGAGCTGACTTCAGCGTTAGAGAACCATTGGAAAACCAGCTGGGAGTACTAGATAGCTGTTTCGTCTAGCCGGTTTTGGACTCTTCATCGGTACGCACCCACCACTGGGGTTCTAAGTGACGACGAGCTAGCTCGTATACCATTAAGCCATTGGGACCGGATACAATGGTCAACCCATGAATTCTAACTTCTGCCGATTCACAACATAGCGCGACCACTAGCCAATGTCTTTGCTGGCGAGTATTTGTCCTCACGGCCGACCTGCTGCACCCTACTAGTCACGACTTTTCACTAGAACCCCAGGTGACTACCTACCTGAATAGGGCAAGTCGCTAGTGAGCATCTCATTGATATTCAAGTGTTGGTTTGTAGGGATTTGGTTGATTGGTTACAGGATTTCATCCATGAGCTGACATTAGTTAGAGAACCATTGGAAAACCTGGTCGTGACCAGTAGGGTGTAACAGGTCGGATGTGAGGACAAATACTCTCCAACGAAGACATTGGCTAGTGGTCGTGCTATTGTGAATCGGCAGAAGTTAGAATTCATGGGTTGACCATTGGATCCGGTCCCAATGGCTTAATGGTATACGAGCTAGCTCGTCGTCACTTAGAACCCCGGTGGTGGGTGCGTACCGGTGAAGAGTCCCAAACTAGCTGGACGAAACAGCTGTCCAGTACTCCCAGCTGGTTTTTCAATGATTAATAATATTTTAATATTTTGCTTGAAGATATTGTATGAAGGAGAATATCATGCAATAAACTCGTCTGGAAATTCTGCACATCATATAAATTTTCTGCAGAATAAAGATTTTATTATTATTATTATTATTAAAGACAAAGGTTGGCTTGAAGTTTGATTTTTGAAGTTTGAAGTTTTTGATTCAGATATAATCTGATGTCCTGATCCCACTCCTTTAGAGAGGTTTGATCGGATGTTGTATAGAAGAAGGATCACTCAAATGGAGCTTAGTGTCTTGAATTCATGAGATGTTCTTTTATTGAACTATAAAGACACTTACATTCTCCCTTCGCTAGTGAGGCTAGATAGTGTCGCTGAGTGCGGTTTACAAGTGGACTCACGGTACAACACTATCCCCAAAACTGAGGCATTTCAAACCTACAGTTCTATTATTGACTTGCATTATTTGATATTATAAACCAATCTCCTGCAAACAGTATATTTATTCACAACTAGGCTGAATGTACAAAACTTTGATTTTCAAGAGTTTTTTTGTAGGGATTTGATTTGTTTCACGTCTGATCACGGATTAATGATATCTAATGCTCACTAGTGATTAGCCACAGCATCAAGTTGCCTGGAGTTTTGTGAAGAAGTCATGATCAGTCGGCTCTAGCTGGTTGATAAGGAGAATAAATATTCTCCGATGATATTGGGCTGGTGCTAGTAGCGCTAAAATCACGAAGTGGTGGTAGAAGTTAGAATTCATGGCATGGCCGTTGGATCGGGTTGCAGTGGCTTAAAGATCTACGAGCTTCCCTTTAACCAGAAGGTCCTAGAGTCGGAGCCTAGTGATTGCGTGTTCTTTATCAGTTTCAAGCCAGGATGAGACAGCTGTCTAGTATTCATTGATAGTTTTCAAAGATTCGCTAACTTATAACAATCCATGGTCGAAGTTAGATCTGTGATTTCATGAAATCACAGTTTGTGTGTGCATTGTTTAGCTCTTTTGTTTACTTATACGAATCACGAAAAATACCCATTTATTCATAAGCAAAAACACAGTTTTTTTGTTCAGAAATTTCTTCTGGTTAATTAAAGGCGAACGTAGAATTGCGAAGTCGTCTGTTTGTGATCACCTGTTAGAGCCTGGTCATTCAGCCCCACGTGATTCATCCTTCAAAGTTATCTACATGGCAAAATCGAATCGCTCAAAAGTTTACGTTTTCTTCACTTATGCATAGCTAGCCGAAACTTTAGCTATACATGAACAGAAACCTAAATTATGTGTGTTCAAAAACGTTTTGTCATAGTAATGTTCTTTCTAGTTTTTATTTTATTTTACCACTTGAATTCTTTCCACCTCACTTCACAACTTTATTCTTATCGTAATCCTAATTTTTTAAAATTTTTAGACAACACTTGACATTTTTGATATCAATTCACTTATAAAACAATCTTTAACAATTTTGTAATTTATCCACTTTAACTCTACCCGTTATAACATTTTAATTATCGTTATTCCTATCACATATATGTATGTATATTTGTGGTGAGAGCAGGCTGCTAGCCAATTGATAGACATTAATCTACGTCAATGTCTAGGTCTATATTATTGGCCGTGAGAAAATATGAACAAGGCTGATTCGGCAACCAATCACAGCAGACTTAAAGTGGGCAAATATGATTCGCAGATAGATGGCTTAACTTTCCGAGAAACTCGAAAACAACCAATCAGAAGACTGTGTTTGTCTACTTGAATAAGCTATAATAATGTACATGAAATATATATAAATATGTGCTGATTTTCGTAATAAAATGATCTGTTGCCGGCTCTTGTCTTTTGTTGCTACATATTGACTGAGCAATTATTTAGTGCCACTTAATAACCTTTTTCTGTAATGTAAATACGACTGTACAGCTTGAAAATGAAGTCGTTGAAAAGAAATTTCTTCGCTGAACAAAAACTGTGTTTTTCCTTATATCAATGTCGCTAATTAATTTCATTATTTACTTATTATTATTACTGTTATCATTTTGTTTCTAGGTTATGACAACAGCATGGATGCTGGAATCCCGAATGTCGAGCATTACAAATCACTAATGAATAAATATCAAATTCATGCTAAAGAACGTCAATTTGACATTCTATTTCATCATCAATATCCTGAGCATAGTAAAATTGCTAAAGAAGAATATTTGGAAAGGATAGAACGCAAGTTAGATATTGGTATTATCAAGGCCTTATCAAGTGAAGCGGGTTTAGATGAAGAACAGGTAGGCGGTACACTAATGATAATAATTTTGATTATTTTCAATCCTTGTAATTGATTATTGATTTATTATTATTTCCTTTTATTCCTAGAGGAACATAGGGTTTCCGCCACGCGTTCCAGTGCGTTTGGTTCTCTGCTAGAGTTTTCACCCAGCTCCAAATCTGCCCATATGGTTTCATTTCCTCTTCACATGACCTTCTCCATGTCATCCTCTCACTAACGACCAACTCGTCGCTTCCCTTTCCGGTTCCACTGGAGCAATGGCTTGTCTAGTGATGTCACTTGATGGTTTGTTTTCTCAGGCTATGGCCAATCCAATCCACCTCCATTTATTCCTGCTTATTTGTTGCACGATCGGTTTCTAGTTGGTACGCTCATTGCCAGAGATCCCTCTCTGTTTTTGATCTTTTCTGGCTTGCCATCTGATCTTGAGTAATGAGCAAAGACAGCTGTCGATGAAGGTCTGTAGTTTGTTTCAGGTGCTCTTCATGATACCGCGCCAAGTCTCTGATCCGTATAGTGAGTAGCACTGACTGGCTTCACATTGGAGTTGAAAATCCGGATCTTATATTCGTTTTGATGCTGAGTAGTACTGTTGACCTCCACACAGACTTGAGAGAAATGAAAGCTTGTCTTGCTTTCCCAATCGTTGCTTTGATATCCTGGTCAGTTCCGCCTGTAGTTGAAACGATGCTTCCCAGGTAGGTGGGTAGGTAAAGGAGGTTGTTTCTTTCAGGTTCCTCCCATTTATGCTGGCTGATCGTTGTCTGTTGTTGTTGTGCTGTTTGTGTTGACCAGGAATCTTCATCACCTTCAGTTGAAGTAAACATTTTTTGGATACTCATCGAGGGCATTAGTTCAGAGGGTAAGGCTACATCAAAGAACTGACAAACTTAGAAATCACGGGTGGTGGTTGGATTCCTACCCAATCGGCTGAATGGTGAATCAGCTTGGTCGGATGACCTGAATTCCCCGGATTCAATCACTGATGGGAGGGCATTGGATGCATACTGATGAAAAGTCTCAAACGTGGGCGAAACAACTGTCCTGTTCGCCATGATTTTCAATGATTACTGATTGATGTTGGTTCGTGACAAAATCCAGCATGTGAAATATTTTGTAGACATAAGAGAGAATTATATTTGCTATGAATGTATACATGTTAGCCTAAAGATGTCGACACTGATTGGCAGTGAACTATTTGAGAAGTTATTTTGTAGGTTATTCATGACTCTGTAGATTACATTGAAGCAGGAAGCGTTTGTTGAGATGAAATGATCAATGTTAACCAGGTGTTCAATTATCACGCTTCTTATTGCACCACTGCTGCCTTTTCGAAACCATGCTGGCTGGATAGTGTTCTTGAATCCTCTTGGACAGGGTGCGCGTCAAACGACCGATGTAGCTAGCTGGCTCCACAGCAGCAGGTGAAATGATATATGCACATAGAAGTGGTCAGATGCGGGATCTTGTCCTTGAGACTTCTGCAGATCAGTGGGCGACTGGAGAGCACTATTCTTAGTGCTGCTGCAAAGAATGTTGTTCTCAGAGATGATGTGATCCTTCTCTTGAGAATATCGCTTGATGAATCTCCCTTGAAATCCAAGTTCATGTAGAGTTTTCTTTTAGACGCAATTAAAGTTTCGTTTCTCTGAATTATTGGTCTGATATTTTTGTCGATGAATCTTATTGGGTATCGATTTTGGATGAATATTTCTCTTAGAATATCTAATTCTGTTTCCAGAACGTCGGGACTACAGGTTTGTCGGATTCGGGTGGTAAGTGATTTAATTACATTCCGCTTTTGTTGAATGAGAACCCAGCTAGAGAAGCTTGTTAGTTGACTATTCCACATAGGTTTTCTATTGATTGATCTTCTTAGGCTCCTATCAATTCTTCTTGTTAGTTCGACATCATGAAACGGAATTTTTGACTCGTTTTCCATTTCAAGAGTGAATTGTATTGCTGCATAGCAATTGTTAAATGTCTTCAGCAGTAGATTGATGTCGTTGTTGTTGTCACAAATAATGAAAATGTCGTCCACGTATCTTTTATACAGTCGCAAATTGTCAATGCTTGGCTTTAGTAGACCTCTCTCGAGGTTTGCCACGAAGCAATCTGATAGTAGTGGACCCAACGGAGATCCCAATGCATTTTTACATTTTTTCTCTATTTCTCTCTCTCCCTCCAACTTCCCTTTGTTGTTTTTTGCCATTTCCCATATCTCCGGTATAGGTGAGGCGTTGCGTCATCCTGATTGTACGTGTGAGGTGTTGCATCAATAAACAAAGCTTTAGACAGTGATTAACCCTCTCTGTCTCACACATACACACTTTCTCTCTTAGCCATTAATACTTTCTGCCTTTCTCACCCAACCTATTTGTGATTACATGCGAATGAATACACTGCGCAATGACTGAGCTACTTATCCAAGCTATTCAACTTAGCCGGGTAATTATTCTACATCTAGTTAGCTAAATTTTTATGTTCCAATAATCTAGCTGACCCCGTTCTACCTACAAGTCTGACGTATGTCAGTGACACCTCACTAACAATCATTACATGGTATTTGGTAAATTGTATTATTTCTCTTAAATTGGGTCTATTGGTTCCTTCATCCGACAAAGTTTATCTCTGAGTGAATTGATCGGTTGATCAGTTGGTTTAAATGCCACCCCGAATAATTCCAGCCTCATTGTGAATTCTACGTAAGGCATCTCTGACGTTTCTCTACTATATGGCGGTACTATAGAGGCTTTGAACTCTGTATTATTTTCGTCCTTTTTATTGCTAATCTTATTGTTCTTTGATGGTTCTTCCTATATACCTGAGTAAATTCTGCTGGGTGGTTAGTCATTTAATAATAATAATTTGCTTTATTCCAAAACAGTACTTGTGATACAGAATGGAATTCTCAGCACTTCACTACAGTATTTCATCCAGTTAGTACATTAACAATAAAATTCTACATAGATTAATGGTAATCTCGGTTAGTTGTGACAACAACATATTGACATGTCGGTAGCAAAGCCAAAACTGAACACAGTGTTTGAAGGTGTTAGAAAAGTACATGATAGTATATTTACTGGCGTAAGAGGTAACAAAAATGTCGAGATATACAGAGTGTGAAAGAACGAAGAAGAATGTTTCAAGTAGAGTTTGTAAGGAAGAAAGAAACAAAACAGCACATAACAAAAAACGAGAGAGAGAAAAGGAGAAGAGAGAAAGAAAACTTTGTACCTATAAATGATATGAGTTGGAAAGACGAGATCCAGTTGTTCTACTGACTATTTAATAAGTTATAGATATCACGCCTAATGCTTTCTCTATCGCACAGAACACGAGCCAAGTAGGGTATGGTTGAGTTTTTGTACTTGCTAGTGCGAGCATATAGTTTCCTATATAGGCTTCTGGTTCTGTCTGATTAGATAGATACAAGGGGAGAGTTGTGGATGAAGAGGGTGGTGTGCGTTAGATAGATAGAATGGATTTAGCCCATTTCTTACATAAGTCCAAGTGCCTGTCCACCAGAATATTAACAAGCTGGTTCAGTGGCACGTTGCTTGCCATGCTGACAGCCTTTAACATCCTACGTAATAGGATGTAGTCCTTCTTCAGTAGCCCTGGAAGTACTTAGGGGGTAAGAATAGAGAATGATAGGCAGGATGCAAGAGTTAACGAATTGTGGGAGTAAGGGTTGGCTTATTCCAGAATGTGTTAACTTCTTGATGTAGAAGGTAAGACGGAGAGATGAGACGACCAGGAAACATCAGCAGATAGAATGACGCCCAGATATAATTAATTTCCGACTTGGTTTCTATTTCAGTGCCATCTATGTTGCATTCCTCGTGAGTGGCAACCAGTTTGTTTAGGTCAGATTTATGCCTAAAGGTGAAATACTTCTTTAACTTTTTCATTTTATTATTTAATTCTTCTGGCTTACTAGTTAGGCTTTTGGTTCAATTATACAGGCATTTAACCAAACCTATCGTTACTATTGATACTGGAGGGGATGAATTAAAGTGTAAGTATTTATTAGAGCGTGTCGATTTCCTGTAAATGCTAGTATCCATCTAACCCACCATCTTGTTTTCGTTTTGTTCTACAGTCTAGCCTGGCCAACTCATTCTGTTTCTTTTCCAACTATGTTTCTGTGTGTAATATAATATAATGTAAACATACTCTTTTTCTTTAGATTCGTCAGTCCACTATTCAACGAAAATATGATCGGCATCATGCTGCTTATGAATTATTAAAGGATAAAATCAAGTTCTTCTATCATAATCCTATCCTACGACGTTTTGTGAATGATGAATTACAAAAAGAAATGAACAAATCGTGTACAACACTAAGACAAAATCAAAATCCGTCATGGCAATCGACGTCTAGTGTTATTCCTGGATGTCGATCACGCGGTGAACAGATGACGTCGAGCAGCACACCGTCGACACAGTTAGCCACAGTACCTGATGTCCTGGATGAAACAATGTCAGAAGGACAAGCGCAGTCGACTGATATACATATGTCTAGTGATTCAAGTGATATATCAGATGTTCAAATGAAGGATAATTATTCCTCTGTGCCTGATTCCAGCATTGAAAGCAATAATGTTGCTACCACTACTACTACTATTATCCCTACAAATACTGATCCCACAACTACTGCTGCCTTACTGGCATCAAGTTCTAACATTATTCCTGGAAATACATATGTTAAGGATGATAAACAAAATGATGGGCAGGTCAGTGGGAGAAAACAGAAAGAAGGCAGTCTAAAGGAGTGGAAAAGTGCTTCGCAGGTATATGGATATTATCAGTTGATTGTTTTGTTTGTTGTAAACAGCTTTGAATGATAAAAACAGTTGTCTAAGTAGTTTAGCCTACTGTGGTGTTTTTTTTCTGTTAGAAGAATAGTGTGGATGAGGTGCATTGGTGGTTTGGCGGTGGAATGCATCCTCGAATTATATTGTGGCTGGTAAATACTAAATATAAGTCACCTGCATAGAAACCCCGTTTAATACATTTAGATAAACAACTTTCTATTACTTCAGAAATACTGTCACCTTTGAAAGCCAAACTCATAAAAGTCGTTTGGCACTGTAATTTGAATGGGGACGGTTTCTTTCTCGACGTTTCTGTCAGCATACCTTCTAGGATATCCATTATTTATAAGAGTTGTGCTAAGGCTTTCTAGTTCCGTGTTGATCGTATCGACAGAGAAAATTTTCCGAATTTTAGAGCATAGAGAACAGATAAGATTTCCCTGCCTGCCTAGAGGTAGTCAACTGTTGAAGTTAGTGTACTGCCATGTAAATTCTGGCTTTCGGTAGATTGACCTTGTTAACGTGCTGTCCTCTCTTCTGTCTAGCTAGTATTACATCGCAGAGGTGAAATGCGGAGTTCTACTCTTCTTCCATTAGTGAAAAGCATAGATGTGACTGAGAAGCATTACATTTTTAAAGAAGCTCGACAATTTTCGTCACAAATAATGATGAAGGTGTCATCAATATACTGCTTATATGTATGCAAACTTGAGATTGAAAAGAACGAGAAGTTCAGCAAAGATAGCGGGCGATCTTTTCAGCGATTTCATTCTCAAAAGCACCTGTACAATCGCATGTGTATAGATTAGTTTACATGGATACAATTATTATTTGTTTAATTTCACATAGTAACAAAGGCGATAATAATTTTCAACTTGATATGAAAGTGTGAAGGTAAAAATATATGTATTACAAGGGGCTTAGAGACAAGATTGCATAGGATTAGAAAACAGTTACGACGTATGCAAAATTAATATTTGATAACTGGAGAAATAATTTTATAGGCGAATAAAATGTGATAATTATTTTCAACTTGATATGAAATACAAGAGGCTTAGAGACAAAAATTACGCAGGGATAGAACGAATTACAAGTGTGAACAAAATGAGTATGGAAACAAATTGAAATCGAAATTTTCAACTTGAAATGTAAGTTAGGAGGTGTGTGAATATAGATTACAAGAGGCATAAATACAAAAAATTACACCGGATTAGAATGTAATTGTAAAATGGTTATTCTAGACGGATTACAAGTGTGATCAAGAGGAGCATGGAAACAAACTTAAAATAACTGATTTTATAACTGAAAAAATGGGATGAATTGAATGAAGGCAAAGAGAGAACATTACACACAGATAACAAGACAAGAAAACTGAAGGATAAGGGAACATACTGAACTAGGACCATGGTAATTGTAAATGCTGGACTAGTTTATTTTGAACACATAGCTTCGCCTTTTCGATGCATATGGCGAGAGCTTCAGCAGTACAAAGAAGTCGAAAACACACTGCCTTTGGTAGATTTTTGTTTACTTTGTAAATGACTCTAAATGATGAGTCGGTTGAGATTCTGTAACACATGTTGACTATGTGGAATTAAACAAATAAGAATTGTATCCATGTAAACTAATCTATACACATGCGATTGTACAGCTGATTTTGAGAATGAAATCTCCGAAAAGATCGCCCGCCATCTATACTGAACTTCTTGTTGTTTTCAGACTTGAGATTGTTTCTTTCAATGGTCCCCTCTCCAAGCCCGCCTTAAAGACATCAGCCAACAAACAAGTGGTAGTTTTTTCTGTTTTCAACTTGAAAGCTGTAGAGTCCTTCTAAAAAATCCGGAATGTTAGCTGTGATCGATCAGTTTGAGTTATACGTAAAATTCAAAAACACAGGATTTGTCTAAAGTACGGTACAGCTGAATGTCGTCTATAAGGAAAGGGTGTGTCAGTATTGTTCCATAGTGAGATAAAAAAGCACTCGAACATCCACATAGAGAATAAAAAGATTAGAATAAAGTAATTTCGACAGAAAGTGGAATATATAAATAAATAAAGCTCAATTTTCCTCAAGCTTGGCGAAGCCAATCTCTATCAAACGCCTGAAACCCAATTTATGTATTCAGAAAGAAGCAGTCATCAGTGGATGTCTTTACTTTCTCTCTCTCTTTCATTTGATAACGCAGTCTTTGATTTTGTTTAATCTCAACCCCATTTGATATAATGCAATTTCACCCATCTCTTGTTCCTACGATTTCTGCTGAACTCATTACATTGTTATTGAATTGAATTTTTGATTTTCCCGTCGATTGATTGGACCGAAGTGCTCGGTCTCAGGTTGACATGAGGTGGCTCTCGTGCCCAAGTGGTCTAGTGGATAACGCTTCGGCGTTTGAAACTATGGGAACTGGGTTCGAGCCTCAGTGGGAACATGATCACTCACTGAGAAATGCAGGTACATCGAGCTGACGAGTCCCAAATAGGACGAAAAGCGCTTTATCCTGGATTCCACTGCTAGCCACCATCCACCAATTGTATACTTATTACATTGTTACTCAGTTTGTTAGCTAGCTACTCGCCTTTATTACGTAACGCCTTTACCATTGTATGTATATATATGTCCAAACCAAGTTCACTTTTAACAGTTTGACAAATTTAGGGGATTGGGTATGTGACACTCATTATAATGAAGATTTTTGTATTTCCTAATGAATAATAAACAAAACGATATTGTTGTTTTTACTGATGTTTCGCTATTTAAACTGTTGCCAATAGCTTTATCAAAGTATTATTAAACCGAAATTTACAAAATCCACTAAGCATATTTATAACAAACAATTAAGAGGTGAGAAAATAGACTACTTAGGTCAAGTTAAAAGGCAGCCATTTGAAAGTCAAAGTGACAATGGAGATCACTAAACCAAATATCAAAGGTAATAGTACGTCTGTTATGATATCAAAACAAAGTTTACTAACTTGGTCATCGTTCTTCAGTCTGCGGTCATTTTTGGTTGTCAGGCTGGTCAATTGGTAGGGATAACAAAACTCAGTGTAGATTGTTGGATTTGATCAGTGTGTAAAATTATAAAAGCAGCGTGTGTTTACATAGTGAAATTTGCTTATCACATTCGTGTTGAGTTTGTCACTTCATAGGGAAGAGGAGGGAGGTGTTGTAACCAGGTCAGATTCTGCTTTAGTCCATCATTCCTATTCAGCTCAGATAATTTGGATTCCAATTTGATATGAATGGTTGACTTCTGATGATGTAAGACGTTCTTTGTGATTTCTGAAATCGTTTTTCTGGGTTATTTCAATATTGTCAAAATCAATTTTGTGTGGCCTGATTCTATCTCGTGTAGACAAGTTATGGCTGATGATTTTTCAGGCTCTACGGTGTTCATTTCTTCTGATTTCGATTTCTCGAGATGTTTGTTCAATGTATGTTGCGTCACATTCCAAGCAAGCATTTTATTTTATCGACACAATTAGATAGAGAATCTTTGGGGATTGGGTGTTTTATATGGACAATTTGTTTCGTAGTGTGTTTGATGTTTTGTAGAAAAAACTCTGATGTTGTGCTTATTATTTAGTACTCTTCTGATATCATCTGACGTTTCTGATCTATGTGGAGTGACAAGTAATAAGGCTGATGTCTTTAGAATACACTTTTGACCATATTTAATGTCATTGTTAATTTTATTCATGAAGTTATTTGGGTAGTAATTTTTCTTGACAGTCTCAGTAATGTTTGATATTTCTTGATATAAGAATAAAACTTGTGCACTGTGGTAGAGTGTAATTCCATTATGGATAAATTTTGTATTGATAAAGTCTCACAGTGTTATACAGTAATGTTTACTGATGACGTTTCGAGCACAATTTATCATTGCTGCTCATAATCATATCAAGGTACCCACACGACTTCCTAAATTCATTTATATAGTTCCATTGTTTTTCTCTTGATTTTCACTTGATTTGATTGGTAATAGTATTTTCCATATTTCGGCTATGAGTGACGAGTCATTCCTATTGCATGTCTTCGGTGTAGACTCGATGAACTAGACAGGATTCAGTAATCAACCTCTCTCCCTCTCCACCTACCTAGATTACTTTTTGGAATTTTAACCCTCTCCCACCCTACTACATAGGTGAAACTAGTAGGTCAGGGATAGTCAGATTATCAGAACATAAGAATTTAACTAATGTAAATATGGTTGACCATGAGAAGATAAGTAATTTAGAAAAAAGCTCAGCAATTGCAATGCATGCGTTAACACACAACCACACAATAGGGTGTGTGGGAGAGGGTTAAAATTCCAAAAAGTAATCTAGGTAGGTGGAGAGGGAGAGAGGTTGATTACTGAATCCTGTCTAGTTCATCGAATCTACACCGAAGACATGCAATAGGAATGACTCGTCACTCATACCCGAAATATGGAAAATACTATTACCAATCAAATCAAGTGAAAATCAAGAGAAAAACAATGGAACTATATAAATGAATTTAGGAAGTCGTGTGATTACCTTGATATGATTAGGAGCAATAAATTGCGCTCGAAACAGGGCCATCAGTGAACATTACTGGATAACACTGTGAAACTTTATCAATACAAAATTTACCCATAATGGAATTTGATATTTCTTCTTCTCTTGCTTTCTCATTCATTGACATCAAAGAGTGTTCTCGTCTGAGAAAACCTGAAACAACTGATACCTTTGCGCTGATTCGGTGTGATGATTTGAAGTCTAAACATACTTTCTCACCCCTTAACTCTTTGTCATATGCATATGCTGAGATTTTTGTAAATTCCTGTTTAATAATACTTTGATAAAGTTATTAGCATTAAATAGCGAAATGTCATTAAAAACAACGACATCGTTTTGTTTTTCATTCATTGGGGAATACAAAAACCTTTATTATAATGAATTGTGTGTATACATTGATTTTTGAACTGTCTGGGTAAAAGCTATATGAGTGCAGCTTTGTGGGCACTTTCATTAAGGCACCTTACATGATGTAATATTTGCAAGTATGTTAAAATTGTTCTCTACATAAACTTAATAATTTATTCAGGCTGTAAGCAGCTGAGGAGAGGGAAGTCAACGAAATAAACAATAATGGTACCATATTATTCTGTATAAACTTTTGTGCTTGCTTTATTCGGATATGTTTAACTGTACAGATGAAATAGAATATTAATACATTAAATGTGGTAAACTTTAGTAGCAATCAACAGTTATGGATACAGAGTAACAACAAATTAGAAAACAGATATCAATTCATACTATTGACTAACGACAAGTAGTATAAAACTGAACACATTGGGACTCGTCCTCCAGCTGGATGTATGTACATTTTTCAGTGAGCGATGGTGTTCCCCGCACAGAGGCTCGAATCCAGTTCCCATAGTTTCAAACGCCAAAGCGTTATCCACTAGACCACTTGGGCAACAAGAGCCACCTCTTGTGCAACGGGTCATATTAATTTTAATTGAATTTAGAATTTTCCCGTCGATTGATTGGACAGAAGTGCTCGGAATTTGAAACTATGGGCACTGGGTTCGAGCCTCGGTGCGGGAAACCTCATCACTCACTGGGAAATGCAGGTACATCCAGCTGGAGGACGAGTCTGAAATAGGATGAAATGCGCTTTATCCTGGTGGATTCCACTGTTAGTCACCATCCACTAATTAAATACTAATTAAATGCCCAGACATCATCAAAACATCTGCACAAGATACCAACAGACATGTCAACAACCTGAGACCGAGCACTTCGGTCCAATCAATCGACGGGAGAATCTAAAATTCAATTAAACTTTGGTTTATGTTTTTTACTGGTAGTTTCAGTTGCGCAAAAGTAAACTTTACAGACACCTTCAGTGCGAGTGTGTATGTGTGTAACCTAAGAAATCGTGGAAATTCACATCCACAAGAAAAAAAGATAGCTTGTTTTTGGTTTTCATTTAGGCATCTAAAGCCATCATTTCTGAAAAGAAAAGATTAAGTTCACTTGAAGCTGAAGATGTTTTTCTCTTTCTCTCCCTCTCTCGCTTTTTTTGTTTCTTCAGCCCAAGAATACAGAGTTGAGCGCTGCAATACACATCCTAAAAGTGAGTTTTCTGTCGGTTTTTTTCTGTGTTTTTGCTTCTCACACTGCATTTCTGTGATTTTCGTCACTATTTTGTTTCTTCGATCTTTGATTTTAGCATAATTCGCTTCTATTGCGTGTGTGTGTGGGGATAGTAACTAACAGCGTGGACATTTAGTTCTCTATTTGGCGATTGTCATCTGGATTTGCCGGGATATCTCATTGACTAATGTTATTCCAAATGATACTTGAATCCCCAGCAGGCACCAATTTCAAATGCAAAGTATCTAATTATATTATTGATTATTGTTCCCTTTGGGTTCCTAGTGGAACATAGGGCTTTAACTGGCCGTCTCCACTTGATTCTGTCTTCCTTTTGCTGTACTTTTCACCTGCATCCATGTTAGTCTATAGTGTTTCAACTCCTCCTCACATGATCTCCTCCATGTCATCCACGCACTGACGTCCCACTCGCCGCTTCCTTTCGTCCTGGTTCCACTCGAGCAATGGCCTGACGCGCGCGTGATGTCACCCAGCGGCGGTCTCCTCAGCGAGTGTTCAATCCATCTTCACTTTTTCCTGCATATTTGTTGGGCGATCGGCCTAGTCTGTTGGTTTTTTCCCATAGTTTCTTGTTGGTGATTCTTTCTGCCATGGTCATCTGATCTTCAGTATGGAGCGAAGACAGTTGTTGGTTGACAAAGGTCTGCAATAGCCTGTGATGTTGAATTATCTAGTATGGTTGGCACACTATAAACTTGACTGAATAACACAATTCAGTCTGTACCAAACAAAGGACTAGACATATCACACTAGCTACTTAATATTGTCCAATCAACGTATCACTGATTTTCAATAAAAGTTTCAATCAGAACACATGACGTAATCTCCAAGACTATACAGTTCTGTTTTGTTAGTGTAATCACCAGGGCAGTTCAAGGTTCAGCACTGTGTCTTTCTGTATACATTGATAGATTCACTTTTAACCGTTTGATAGCGAATGCTTCAGCAGAAGACTACCAGGCTAGGTTTCTCTGAACTGTTGATTATTTTGAACACCTTTAAGTTATCCACAATATGACCAGTGTTCAGTAGATGGGATGCATTCGCCATGCTTTTAATAATGCTTTTAATCTCTTTAGTCTCAGGTTATTTGATATGTGTTGGGAATTACGTCTACGATAATTATTTTCTCTGTTATTCCGATGTATGTACCTTAGTACGTACATGTAATCTGATGGTAGGAGCAATTGGAGGTAACATGAGCTGGTAGTTTGTCGACTTCCGATTGCTTTACACAACTATTTATTTAGAAAACAGAAAGATTGAGCAGCGAAGAAATATTTACTTTTCAATTAGATCCTCATCTCACTCTGGCTCTACCTTATATGACACGTATAGCATTTTTATTACAATACACAACAGTTTACCAATCATCAAGTAGCACTGATATGCTTGTTAACAATAATTAGTCAGTCAGTGTCAAAATGTCAATGGGCAGTGGGGTGATAATTAACGAAGAAAATCAATGCACACAGTTGAAAGGTAAAATGGTTAAAATAAATTAACTTTACAAGGATAACACGTAATTAAGGATGAAGTTGTCAGAAAAAATAAAAAATAAAATAATTTGGACAATAATAATTTTTATAATTTTAAATGTTTAGGGGGAGGGGGGCGAAGTAGTCCTGTTTATACATCCATGTAACGATGGCCAAGGAAGGTAAGGAAATTGGCTGTACATATTTCTTCTGAACACATAGGTATGTCTGGCTTCTTCAGGTGGATTCCTATTGCTTCAGCTGTTGTATGTAGAAGACGAACTCGTAGAGCAAATTAAGATTACTAGGAATGCGATAGATAATTTTAAATGCTGTATTAACGTCAACCTTATGCTTACTATCTACAAGGTGTGCTACAATAGAGCTACGAATAGATCTTGTTTATCCCTTGCTTAACCATGCTGGATGATGTTCGGAAATACGATGATGAGCCTGCCTAATTTACGTCCAATGTAGCTGGCTCCACAGCTGCAGTCAAACTGGTAGATACAAATAGAGGAGGAGGTAAATTTAGATAGTTTATCCTTATTTCTCGAACATAGAATAGGGGTGATTTTGAAGAGACAATGTACCTCTGCCGCATAATAAACTCCTTTAACTACATTCTTCAGGCGCTGATTCATTATTTCGCTGATGTTGTCACTGAGGAGGAACTGCAGTTTTATGAACATTAGTTTTTTTCGGAACTGTTGCTATACTGACTCTCTTAGGTGCTGAACTATTTATTCGACATATATCGACAAGCTTGACGGCTTGATATATATTCTTTTCACTTCCTGTAGTTCTCTATTTTCCACTCTTTTTTTTATAATTTCACTTTATTGTCGAGTAATGAGTGTCCCTTGTTTGTAATTCGTGTTAGGCTGATGAAGATGAAATCCTCTCACATTTCGGCATAGATCCAAGTCCAATGACTAAATCATCCTTTTCAAACTCAACTCGACGACATACCCTCCAATTTGCTACATCTCTATTTCACAAGCCATCTCATCATCGTGATAATGCAGATAGTATCATGACAGCAAACAATGGGGATGATGATGACGACGGTGATGATAATGGTGTTGCTGATGATGACAAAGCTGGTGGTAGCCTTCAACCTGTACAACCGAATACAACTTCAGCGACCACTTCAGATACCACCTCCCCCCAGGGAGTTTTAGATGGAGCAGCGAATAAACTACATGAGCAAAGTGATGTTGACAATAAGAATAAGAATCCAAATCAGGGGAACGCATCTACTACTGAAGGGAATAGTACAAAACGGTCTACAGTACGTCGGTTTCCACGACAAATCACTCAACCACATCCAAATCGATTACAGTATAATCAAAATAATGCTGAAAATTCTGATCAAATGTTACGCGTGAGTTTATTTTCAATGGAAATAATAATAATAATGATTTACTTTATTCCAAAAACAGTACTTGTGATACAGAATGGAATTTTCAGCATTAATCACAATATTGCATCTAATTTCCTCAAATTATAAATAAAATTAATCACACAGAAAATTTTCCACATTTACAATAGAGGTAGTGTCAAAAACATGCAGCATATAAAATGGAAATAATAATAATAATGATAACAGCTAGGGTAATAATAATAATACAAGTGAAAATTGCCGTTGGCTTGTGTCACACAGTATTGGCAATGTGGTATAGAAATCCTAACATGTTTAAAAATATTGAATATAATGTTCTCTTTACATGATATGGTGAGGGAAAAACAAAGATTACAGCCGTCATGGAGATAAGTTGGTGTTTGCAATTATGAGAGTAAAACAAACAGAGAAGTAACAGGACCATAAATATAATAGAAATAATAAAAGTAAAACTTGAAGGTATATAAGGATGGATGGATGGAGGAAATTGTTTATTTACTAGATGAAAAAAGGTTAGTTAATTCTTGCCTGACACTATTTTCATCACATAAAATACGTGCCAAGTATGGTATCATAGAATTCTTATACTTAGACGTGCGAGCATACAGTTTTCTGAAGTTACTCCTTGTTCTACCTGAGGAGATGCAAGGTGAAAGCTGAGGGTAAAGCGGATGCTCCAAGTCAGACAAAATCCCTTTAGCAAATTTATTGCACGAAGTCAAGTGCCTATCGACAACGACGTTAACTATGTGGTCCACTGGGACACCACTCACCCTACTGACAGTCTTCAGTATTCTACGAATTGTGACATAGTCTTTTTTAAGCAAACCAGGAAAGAATAAGGGTGAGCAATAAAGAAGAATAGGTAGGATGCAAGAGTTTATGAACTGTAAGAGGAGAGGGGTTGAGTTATACCCGAGTGTCTTAACTTCTTAATGTAAAATGTCAGGCGGAATATTTTACTGGAGATTGCTAAGACATGGGAAGACCAGGAGAGATCAGAAGAGAGAATGAGTCCAAGATACTTAATTTCTGATTTGATTCCTATATCATTGTCGTCAATTTTACAACTGTCATGAGAATCGATGACTTCTTTTAACTGTCGTTTACATCTTAAGCTGAAATCAACAGTTTGACACTTAGAAGGATTCAGTTTAAGACCGTTAGACTCAGACCATTTGCTGACTTCCGATAGAAAGCTATTTATTTTAGTACAATCTAGCTGGGAGTTAACAGCCATTGAAACCGTTAAATCATCAGCGTACTTCACAAAGTTTATTTCATCAGAGTGAGGCAAGTCATGCAAGAAGAAAGAAAAAAGAAAAGGAGAAAGAACAGCGCCTTGAGGGACACCAGCTTCAGTAGGCAATGAAGTGGAAGACTTCCCTTTATATACGGTGTACTGCTTTCTATCTGAGAAATAGGAATGTAACCAGTTAACAGCCCAACATTCTGTTTGACTAGCAGCAAGTTTATTTAATAAGATGTCCCTAGGGACCGAGTCGAAAGCAGATGTATAGTCTAGGAAGGCAACGAACAAATTTAGCCCCCTTGTCTAGACTGGAAGCAATGTTATGATATAAGACGGCAGCTGCATCTAAAGTGCTTCTACTGTGCTTATAGGCGAATTGTTTAGGGTCATTAAAGGATTTAAGCGAAGGTACAAGACTAAGTAAAAGTAATTTCTCCATAGTTTTCAAAAAAGGAGAGGTAATAGCAATGGGTCTAAATTTGACACATGCTCCAGTAGAAGATTTAGGTATGGGTACAACTTTAATGTCCTTCCAAACGGCAGGCACAATATTATCGGAAAAAGATTTGTTAAATAGATCAGTAAGAGGGTGACACAGAATATCAGAACATTTTTTAAAAATAATACTAGGTACATAATCGGGACCTAAGCTCTGGGGAGGGTTTAGAGACTTGAGGCACTTTTGAACATCATTTGTGTTAAAACCTGGAAAGGGGCTATTATTAACACAAGTGATGCTGGGAAGCATGGCATTTGAGGGAGAGTAAATAAAAGATTTGTTAAGAGTACATACATCAAAAGAATATGGAATATTGTTTATCTGCTTACCACCAGTGATTTCCTTAAATAGTTTCCACATATTAGAAGGATTTTTGCAGGATTTGAATTTCTGGTTATATATTACATTCAACCTCTGCATTTCAGACTTGATTAAGAAGTTAATTCTTTTTACACCACTTTTATCTTTCATTTCATATAGTTTTTACTTCTCTCTATGAATTTCAGATAAGATGTAATATTAGAGATAGTGTCATACACTGTTGAATATCAATACTGCATATCACTCATTGTCTATTTTTGTACTCGATTAAAATTTTCTGTTATGAAGCTTTAACTGATACAGAGTAAAATATGACTAGTGTAACTTGAAATCTGTTAAGTCCCTGCAGATCGAAATTTGGGAATTAACGGAATGCTTTCTAGTAATCGACCACAGATTGCAGTTGTTTGTTGAGTTCTAATAAGGGTGGTGACCATCCCGGTACATCAGGTAGGCTAGGTAGACAGACAGTTGTCTGTGACACTGGCTGCCTGCAGCTCAATAAGTTGTGGACTGACAGGAGTTGGACCGGCCGTTGGAATATCTGAATAAAACAAGAACAACAGCGTGGATTGTGCAGAATAATGTGGTACCATCTTCGTTTATTTCGTTGGCTTCTCATTAGCTGCTTACAGCCTAAATAAATTATGAAGTTTATGCACAGAAACGTTTTAACATATTTGCAAATTTTACATGTTGTCAGTCGACAGAAAGTTCAAAATCTAGTGAACAATGCTTAGAAAACAGCGCTTATATAGCTTTTTACACTGGCAGTTCAGGTTTAAACAAAATAAATGTATGCATACAATGATAAAGGAGTTGTGTAATAAAGATGAGATATGCGTTAGCATCACAGTAACTAATAAATTAGGTAACAACGTACTGAGTTCAACTGAAATCACAGAAACAAGACACAAGCAAAATTACGCTGTATCAAAGCGGGTGAAATTAAAGTCAAAGATTACGTAATCAGGTGAGAGAATAGGGACATCCAGTTACCAGGATGGGCAAGGAAAGACTAATAACTGCTTCTTTCTGAACCCATAAAGCTGGTTTCAAGCGTTTGATAGAAATTGCTTCGGCAGACTCGAGGAGAATGAAGCTCTTTTGTCTATTGATAATTTTAAAGGATTTCTCGACTTCCACCTCATGACCCATGTCGAAGAGATGTCTGATAATAGTGCCACTATAAGAGTTTGTCCCATGAAACGTAGGCTTTTCAGCACATGTTCAGCAAATAGGAGGTGTACCCTTCTATCTGTTTTCCCAGTGTAACTGCTTCCGCAGATACACTTAAATTTGTATACAGAGTTGGAGTTAACATGAGAAGGGTATCTATCGACTTTTCACTGTTGTTCGATGGACGGGAACCAACTTAGCTGGCTGCAAGATAGGCTGTGGCTAGTGACGTTCTCAGTCTTCTGTTGACCATTTCAGCAATGTTTTCACCTTTAAAATCTAGTTGAATGAAGACAGGCTTTTTTTCAACTGTGATTTGTTTGGTATTTGAGCCTTCACACCTTCCATATTTGTTAATGAATTTTTGAGGATAACCGTTGTTTTTCAGCACCTTTTCGAGAATCGTAAATTCTTCCTCTAGTTTCTCTGCAGAGCATATTCCCTCGCTCTACAATACAGAGTCTTGACTAGTGGACAAAAACTATTAAAATGTAAGTATTGTCCATTCCATGTGAAATTTCTGTAAATTGACCTCTGGAGACTACCATTTTCTAGGCGTTGCATGGCGATGTCAAGAAATACAACTTTCCATCATTTTCATGTTCCATAGTAAATACAATATTTGTATATGCGTTGTTGAATATTCTGAGTAGGTAGGAGGCATAACTCTCCTTGTTGCATACTACAAATGTCATCGACATTTCGACGACAGGAAGTTGTTTCGTCGATTGCATGCTTCAACTTTGTTTTCTCAAGGTTTGACATAAAATATCTGCTAAAATAGGGCTAAGTGGACTGCCCATATTTGTTTTGATTACCGCTTGATCATACACCGTATTTTTGGTACAAGTATGGAATTTTCAGCGTGTGATATCGGTGGCCCAAATTTTGCTGGCCGACCATTGATATCAGGTGTGCGTCGGCAAGGGATCGGACCCTGGACCATGTGTATGATCAGCGAGAGTCATAACCGCTGTGCCACCGACGCACACCATGTAAAACTGGAATTAGTGACTGAATGGTCAATGGTCGGTCAATAGTATCGAACTCGTAACCTGTAGCTTATTGGTTTGATCTTTGATAAAGTGGTGGGTGGATCGACATTAGTTAGAGAAGTATTGAAAACCAAGCAGCCCGTGTTTGAGACTGTTCAGCATTTGTCACTCCTATTGTAACAACAGAAGGCAAAGGCCGGGAAACAGATAGTTTATTAAGGAAATCAACACGTATTTACTGATTTTCATGTACATTATTATAGGTTATTGTTAGCAGAAAAACACAGTCTTCTGATTGTTGTTTCTCACAGAAAGTTAATCTTGCATCTCTTTGTGGCTGTTTCTTCAATGTCAGATCATCTATATGTTAACTGCATCCACCTACGCAAAGCCTTTGTTCTCATTTTTCTCATGACCAATATTGGAGACATAAACAAACATTGACGTAAATTACTGTCCACCAATATTGACTAATAGCCAGCTCTCACCACTATCACTCCTAGAGGGATCGGACTGTGGGTCTGAAACGAGCTTATGTATCCTCCCGCTACTGGGATGGAATTTAGAGGGTTGGCCCACAAACTTACACTGAAAATAAAAAAATAAACTTTTCCCTTATTTTCAAATTTCTAATAATGTCTTTTTTTTAAAATACATCTCATATATCAGAATCGGTTAGATTGGATGCCAAACACTTGGGAGACGACAACTCAGTCCGAGTTTAAAAAACCCTGATGATTCAATCACAAAGACCATATTTAAATAAAATAAGTAAACAAAATGATCAGACGTTGACATCCCTTGAACTTGGACAAGAGGCGGCGACAACTCGGATGCCAATGATGGAAAGCAGTCCATCGTCGTCAACGACAACATCACAGCCACCACCACCACCAATGGAGACAACCCAAGCTGGCAGTGTTGTTAATCGTCAAAATACTCTACCCATACTAATTGATCCAATGAAACAGACAACAGAATCAGAAAGTATGCAAATAGTAGAAAGTATTTCAATGGATTATAATGAGAATATACCTTTGAACACCTTGAATATATCTTCATCAAAATCTGAATATCCAAAAACTCCAAGTAATAGTCTTTCTTATGTGTTCTATTTCGGGTTGTTTTTGTTAAAATTGTTACATTTGATGTTTATTAAAAATTCTAAAAGACTGACTCTAGTGAACGAAGAATATTATTTGAATAAGGAAGGCATTTAGAAGACAAATTTCGCCACAAGATGATGCCATCATTTCGTAGTTTCTTTACAACCGCTTTACACAACTAACATGGTTAATAATAATAAAATAAAGTTCATGACAATTACTTAGTTAAATAAAAAAACAGCAAAATTACATACTAATGACCAATCACATTTTTAAATAGGTTATGTAGTCGTCCATGGTAGGCAAAAGAAGGTTGAAGTCAATTGTTTTTTGTACACACAGTTTAGGCTGTATGTGATTAATCCGCCAAAGTGCTTCCATCACCTTCAATAACCAACCAACCAACCTTGAATTAGAGTTATGTGGTGAAATAATTGTGAAACAGTCATTGATATTGATTTTGTGACGAGACACTAATATGTGTTTTGCAGTGGATGATAATGGATTTCTAGTCAGATTAATAATTGCATTGGGATTTTCTGTATGATTTAGTAGCCATTTTGGAACATATTCTTTTCGACAACCACATTGGAACATTCTGTTGGTTCCTATATATCTATATAGGTGAACTTGTAGATACAGTTTGAAGTAGAGTCCACAGAACTTCATCCTTTAATCGTAGTTAGGTACGGGATTGAAAATGTTCGGCAAGTGAGAAAAAGAGATGGTTGGTACCAGGAGACGCAATTCTGTCACTCGTGAAAAATTTAAATCATTTCACTTTATGCTGACTAAATATTGCGCTGAAAGAGGATGTTGTCCAGCAAGGGGGGGGGGGTTGGCGATGAAAGCTTCACAACTAAACCAATCAGTTCAGAGAACACTATTAATTGTAAAACATCCCCACCTGAGCTACACATCTTTTCTATTATTTCAAGAACAAAGATATTTTAGATTATCTGAACTGATAACTAAAGTATGGATGAATCATTGACCCTTTTAAATATGGTACCAATAAAGTATGGGAATCAGAATGGTCTTAGTAATATGTACTTTTCTGGGTGGGGAACAATACTTGTTTTATATTGCGTAATATATTTCAGATTGCAAGTGTACAATACATTGCTATCACGGAATAAAGCATAGAAAATGCCAGTCAGGTCTGTATCTCTCACTACATCAGCTTCTTACATTGACTTCGAAATCGTCTTCCAAAGACGTTTAGGAGTGATATTAGATGGTTGGAGGAAATCAGCCACAAGAAGCCTCACCTGACCTAGGTTTCGTGCTAGTCGGCACTCACAAGTCAGCCAGCAACGTGTATCTGCAACCTTGAAGGAACTCATGTCCCCCTTCTGAGATTCGAACCCAGTGCTACCTGCGGTCAGAGACGTTACCGCTTAGCTATTCGAGCTCGTGATTGACCTCCTGTAGGAGTGTAGTGGATATTTTGATTGCACACTAGTCAGTAACTAGTGTGATGTGTCTAGTCCTCTCATTGGTGCAGACTAAATTCTATCAGTCAGGTTTTTAATGTGGCCATCATTCTAGGTAGCTCTAGATTGCAGATACTCCTTGCTGATGAGTGCCAACTAGCACGAAATCTAGGTTAGGTGGAGGTTCCTATGGCCGATTGTCTTCAACCATCTAATATCATCAAATCAATGTGCACCGTGATGGCGAGCTACCTAGAATGGTGGCCACATTACAAACCTGACTGATAGAATTCACTCAGCACCAAAGAAAGGACTAGACATATCACACTAGTTACTAGTGTTCATTCAGAAAGGTTTAGGAGTGTAAGGGTTGTAATGCTGACCACCTTCGTGTATGGCGACTATTCTACCACTGGACACCAGGTGGAATAAATTTGGTACTACATAGTATCAACTGAAGAATTAATGAGAATCGTGTAAAATTGAGAGCCTTCTTATATTATTATTCATTATTATTCCCTGGGTTCTGAATGGAACGGAACATAGGGCTTCAACAACACATTTCCACTCTTTTATATATTTCCGTTATCCTCTTCATCAGCTGGCTAGCTCCACGATTGTGCATAATCTCTCATCTTTTATACTCACATGATCTCCTCCATGTCACCCTCACTCTTGGACAACCCAGTGGTTGGTTCCTATTTGGATTTTGTTTGAGAGCTGCCCTGGCGCGCGATGTCTCCTCTTCGACGGTCTCCGCAATGTGTGCCCGACCCATGTCTATTTCCTCCTGTATATTTTTTGAGCGATCAGCTGTTGGTTCGTTCGTTCCCACAGTTTACTGTTAATAATTCTTTCTGGTCATTTGATCTTGATGTCACACAAAATCGAAGACTTACAAGCGAAACACGGCAAAGTGGTCGAAGAAGCAGCCGGCGAAGACAGGACTCCGGGTGAAAATAGACAAGACGGAGGCTATGAGAATAACCGACCACCATCATCACCACCACCAACAACAACGACAACAGAAACATCCAGCCCCAACACCATCAATGGGAGGGATTCGGAAGAGGTTACTTCATTCACTTATCTAGCATTGAGCATTGTCTCAACTACAGAAGGAGGAACGGACGAGGATTTCAAATCGAGCGAGAATCGGGAAGGCGAGAAACACATTCATCAACCTGAAACCAGTCTGGAAATCTTCGTCACTCAGCATCAATAACGAAATTCGGTCCGATTTTCAATACAAACAACGTCAAGTCAGCCAGTTCTTCTATACGGATCAGAAACGTGGCGGGGGGGGGTCACAAAGAATACTTCCAAAAGGTTGCAGACCTTTATCAACCAGCAACTGTCTTCGCTGGTTCCATACTGAAGATCAGATGGTCGCGCTGGAAAGAATCACCAACAAGAAACTATGGGAACAAACCAACAGACTAGAGCCGATCGCCCAACAAATATGCAGGAAAAAGTGGAGATGGATTGAACACTCACGGCTGAGAAGGCCGCCACTGGGTGACATCGCGTGCGCGTCAGGCCATTGCTCGAGTGGAACCAGGACGAAAGGGAAGCAGCGAGTGGGTCGTCAGTGCGAGGGTGACATGGAGGAGATGGTGTGAAGAGGAGTTGAAAGAGTATGGACTAACATGGATGCAGGTGAAAAGTACAGCAAGAGGAAGACAGAAGCAAGTGGATACGTGCAGTTGAAGCCCTATGTTCCACTAAGAAGAACCCAAGGGAACAATAATAATAATAGTAATAATAATATGGAGCTAAGGCAGCTGTTTAATGAAAGTTTGCAACAGGTTGTTGGAAATGTTTTTCGTGACACCCAGTGCACGTTTATGACCCGTATAGGAGGATCGACTTGATATTGGTGTTGAATAGAATCTGAATCTTGTTCCTTATGCTAAGTGTAGAAGATTTCCAAATTGGGTTTCAGGTTGATGAAGGCATATATATGTATATTTGTCAGTGCTTATCTCCATGGCATACTTTCAGATAGTGAAACAAATGTTCAGTGTTGGAAAGTCGAAGTTGATCAAGGATTAAAAGAAAAAGTGCCTCACATTAACAATAATCCTCAATGTTTAAGTTCAGCTAACTCTGCGGCTTTTGTTCGCCATATAACAAAAAGAAAGGCTTAATGACATTTCTGATAACACTTTTAAATCTAAAAAATGAATTAAACTAACACTTTTTTTATTTATTTTTTTATTTTTCATCTTTTTTTTATCAGTTGAATGTTCATATATGCCCACATCAAGAAGTCCTCAATTAGTCCCCTCACAGTTAACTAATCTACAAAGCAATCCACGTGATGCCCTACTGGATCGTATTCCAGAACAGATTTCAGTGGATATGAATACTGATCCTAATAGAACAATAACAGCAACGGCAACAACAACAACAGATGTAAGTGTGTTTAAATTGAAATAACTTTTAGAAAAAAAAATATTTTTTAGTACAAGAAATAATTATTCTTCAGAATTTATGTTTCTTAGTATCATTTCAAATAATCTGATCACACATTTACTTGTCAAGTCGATATATATATATATGTATATACGTATTTGCACGGCTGATGTTGTAGACAAATAAAATGAAATATTGATGGATACTCTTGTTGTAAACGGATACCCTTTAAAATTTTTAAAGAGGTGTAGAAGTCAACTAGCCTCTAAACCTACAATCCATACCGCTTCTAAGAAAAAGGTTTTTATCAAATTACCGTATAATAGGGAAATAAACAGTAGGATTTTGAGACAAAGGTTGAATTCGGTCATCCGTAGAACCTATTATACAGCTCAGCTTGTAATTGTCGAGAAAGCTAAAAATATGCTTCACTGTAAACCCAAAAAATGCACAAGTGATTATATCACATCCCACACTATTTACCAATTTTCGTGTATCTGTGTGTGTGGTCACATATACATAGGGAAGAGTAATCGTGCTTCGCATGTGAGGCTGGGAGAGCATATCCCAAAATGGCTATAAAAACAAATGAATTGTGACAAGCCAATAGATGCAGGTGTCAGACTACTACCAACTTCGTTTGATCGAGATGAACCATAAGATTGATGTTAACTCAGCCTTTAAGGTCATTTATAAAAACGGTCAAGGGCGCTTATTGAAATACACCGAGGCTATAACTATTCATAAACTTAAGCCACCCTCCTGTGCAAATACATCACATTGCTTTTCAGATAATCTCCGTCTTCTAATTACTTTATCCAAATTTATAAAAGGTACTAATTGTTTTAAATATCTTAGTATCAGTGAAAGTGTGTGTGTGACTTTAATTCTCTTTTCCGATTGAAGCCTTCCATCTTCTATCAATCAAAATCTTGTGGTTTACTCTTGGGCTGAGTTACTGCCACGAAAGAAAGAGAAGCAGGTGGTTGTTTGAAGGGGTTAGCCTACCCTCTCGCCTGCCTAGCCCTCTTGAATATTATTCGTATGCAATTCTTTTTGTATGTTATTGGTTTGTTGCTATCGTAATTCAGTATTTGGTTTGTGTGAGTAGATTTTCTATAAACTTGAGTTTTTAATTCCCTTTATGTTTCTCTAGGAACCTAAGGGAGTAATAATAATGATATTGTATCAAATGCTTTCCAATTAGCACCATTTTTGAAATACATCAGTGTGAGAAAAAAAAAACAGAAAATGGGGGAGGGAGAGCTGTTTCTTTTGTTTCGGTAGCGTCATATGTTTTTTTTCACACTTATATAATCCTGATAAAATATTTTCATTTATTTTGTCGTTTTTTTTTAACCCAACAGAATACAACTCACATTCCGATTGAAAAATCCTCTGTGTTAGAAGATTCCTGTTGGTCTGCTGCACACGATGAAGATGAAGATGATAATGCATGCGATCCTGCTGCTGGTGTCCTGCGTACACTCCTGCCACAACTTAATCTACCGGCTAATTTACCAGCTATGATTCATCAGCCTGTTGCATGTTTCACTGTTAAAGATCCAAATTTGTTAGCACCACCGGAATTTATGACTCCGCGTAAGTCGACTTCAGTATTCACTAATTATTTTACCCAAGAATTAGTTAGTTGATGGGAGATATCAGTTGGACAAAACCATTGAAAAGCCCTTGAGAGCACTGAACAGCTGTTTAGTCCTAGTGTGGGGCTGGCTCCTCATCAGTACTTAGGATGAGTGAGCTCGTAGATCATCCTGATACTGTGATCCAATCCAATGATCAGCCCATGAATTCCAGCTTCTGTCAATTCACTGTATGGCGTGACCACTAGCGGTTGTCATCGTTGGCGAGTATTTGTCCTCACACCTGATCTGCTGTACCACACTGGTCAGATATCCTCACTAGAACCCGTTAGTGTACGCATCATATCGTGAATCGACAGCAGTTTGAATTCATGGACTGGCCATTGGATCAGGTCCGAATGGCTTAATAGTCTACTAGTTTGCCTTGTAACCAGAAGGTCCTGAGTTCAAACTTTATATTATTATTATTATTCTCTTCGGTTGTAAGTTAAACAAATGACTTCAGTTGTCTCCTTTCAGTTTCATCTAGTTCTTTGCATTCCTCTCTAGCTGGATGCACGATTGCCCACAAGCTTTCATTCCCCCCCCCCACCACGGTCTCCTTTAAGTCACATTCGAACCAACGCCTAACCTGTCGTTTCTCATTCAGATACCATTGGATGGCTTACCTGACACATGGTACTCAAACGACCCCTCTGAATATACCCGACTCATCTCTATTTCCTTCTGTCTACGTGACGGTTTAGCAGTAGATACTGCAAGTTCCTCATTACTCATCCTTTCTGGCCATCTCGTCTTCACTATCAGCCGGAGGAAACTGCTGCTGAAAGTCTGCAGTCTGTTAGAAGTACTTATGGTGGCGTGTGCATACCAAGTCTCTGAACCTTCCTTATACAAGCGCTGAGTGAAGTAGATTTCCACACTGATTTCAGGACAATGCAATGTCTTTCCTACTTTTCCCATCCTGAAATCCTCATTTGTGCTGCCTGTAGTTGAAACGGTGTTACCTAGATAGATGAAAGAAATGACCTCCGTCAAACCTCTCCATTTGATAGTGTTTCTTTCTTGTCGGTGTTGGTTGTCGGGTATCTTCACCATCCCTGTTCATCACGCATCATAAATATTCATCAGAATCCTCTGAAGTGTGTACTGACTACCAGGTGATAGGTGCGGACTTCCAGTTACAGTTTTATGCATTTAGCTGTGCTGCAAACAGGTAGAATATAAACTACCCTTCAATAGTTATTGTGACGTTGTCTTAGCGGACGTCTTAGTAATTCATTATGCAGAAATTTTAAGCGGACCTATATTCTAACTGTGAATGAACACGCATTCAGTATACGGCAGATGTATTCAAACTGTCGAAGCAGAGGTACCGACCTACTTTTAAGCTGTTAATTATAAATATAATATATTATTATTTCATAAGGCTAACCTGGATTTCTTTTTATTTCACAATTTAGACAGTTCTAGCTTTCCTCGAAGATCGTCTGATGGTGCAGCTGATTTACAACCACTCCATCGACCTGTTATCACTGTTGGCGGTAGTTATCCTGAACAAGCGAATTATCGTAAAGGGGTTTGTAATATTTCTTTATGATGTTTTTTAAAATCTTTTGTGCACCGACTGAAATATAGGAAGGACTTCGAGCTTTGTTCTGAAGTATTAGTAGTAGTGATGCTTCTTTACGTTGTTGGGTTGTTAGTCTCACGCTTGCTTTTCCTATTCACCAGACTAACTATCCAGCTAAGCAAGGCTTAGAAGTGTATCGATAGGATGTCAAACCCCCGGATCACATGCGTAGTTGGCGAGCACTCTACCGCTGACGCTCATTTCCTTATGATACTGGACTTTAATAAACCTCACATTTGGAAAATACACATATATATATATATATGTGCAGTAGAAAAATGACGACCTCATTCGACAACTGTATGACACTGACATGTGTCATGTGATACACAACGGGGAACTCAGTGAGGTGTTTGAAGTGAAGACAGGAGTAAAACAAAGCCGCCACCTACCATAATTGACGATATTCCTCATTTTGGTGAACTGAATTATGCTTTAGACTGTGCACAATGAGCATGAGGACACGAATAGATATAAGTGTAAAACTTGGGCACTGTGGTGTTTGAGTATAACTGCATTATGGATAAGATTTTATTTTGATAAGTCATACACAGTGTTGTACAGTTATATTAACTGATGACCACACGCTTCGAGCACAAACTATTGCCACTCATAATCATATCAAGGCACTACTCACACAGCTTTCTTCCCTCATTTAGATGATAAGATAAATGATAAGATGAGAGATGAGATCATCCGTTAACTGTTAAGGTAGGCTTAGTTAAGTGTTTAACAAACCTAGCAGTAGCACTAAGTAGCACAGGAAAAGACCTAAATGATGAAATAAAACAGACAGAAGAGGCGTTGGTGTTAAAGAACTATTCTTTAGAATTCATTAAGAAGATCGAAAAAGGCCAGACGAAACATAATAATAATTGTGAAACTAGTAATAACAACATAAATAAGAGAGAATATAAGTCATCTACAGTTATACCATATAAAGAGGGGACATCTGAGACCCTCCCTAAGTAGGATTCTAAATAAAGCAGGAATTAGGGTGGTTGCATTTAAACCTACAAACTCACTCAGATAGGACAAGCTCTGTAGGTTAAAAAACCCAGTTGACCCAATTAGACAAAATAACATAATTTACAAAATACCCTGCAATGACTGTGAGTTAGGTCAACTACATAGGTCAGTCAAAGTAGTAGATCGGGAGGGGATACTCAGATTGTCAGAACATAAGAATTTAGCTGAGGTAAGAATGGTTGACCCTGAAAAGATAAGAAATTTTGAAAAAAGCTCAGCTATTGCACTTCATGCATCAACAGACAACCACACAATAGGGTGGGATAGGGTTAAAATTCTAAAAAGTAATATAGGTAGGTGGAGAGAGGGGTTGATTACTGAATCCTTATTCATCGAGTCTACACCCAACACATGCAACAGAAGTGACTCAATGCAAATACCAGAAATATGGAAGATAATATTACCTCAAGTCAAATCAGAAGAAGATAATAAATAATCTTAAAATTTTATTTCAATTCAAGCACATCAAAACATTCTAGCAAGTAGCTTATTATGACTGTAAAACACACTCGTCCTTTTTCCCATCTAACTGCAATTGATCAACAACACTCGTACTATTATTTCTGAATGTACATTATCTCACATTGATTTTAATCCAATATCTAATTGATTCTACACATGTTTATAAATGAAAGAAAAAAGTTGTGTGAGTAACTTGATATGATTATGAGTGGCAATAGTTTGTGCTCGAAACGTGGTCATCAGTTAATATAACTGTACAACACTGTGTGTGATTTATCAAAATAAAATCTTATCCATAATGCGGGACACGAATACTCTGTATCGATAAGAAGACTGTAGAAGATCTGGACTTTGCGTATGATTTATTTCTAATATCTCACGCAAACTCCAAGACTTACAAGCGAATGGTAGGCAGCTAAGACGGAATTCAAGTGAACGTAAAGAAGACAGATTTGATGAAGATAACGAACCAACCAATGACAACAGCCTGCACTAATCACTACTTAATGGAAGAAATATGAAAGAGGTCATTCCCTTCACTAATCCAGGAAGTATCGTTTCAACTACGGCTGGTGGAATGGATGAATATGTCGTAACCGGAATTGGCATATGCGAGGTTCACCTTCATCATTCTGAAATCAGTTTTTTTTTGAAAAAACTTCTGCATTCAGTACAAACAAACATAATCGGGAATTCAAACACCAGTGTTAAGTCAGCCGGTTCTTCCATATAAGTCAGAGACCTGGTACGCGCATCTCACTAAGTGCATTTCCCACAGACTACTTCAGACTCTTATAAACAGATGCCGAGTTCTCTGACTCCATATTGAAGGTCAGTTCGCCGATGCGGAAGAATTAGCAATGAGAAACTCTTGCTGGGAACAAACCAACCAAGAATGTACTATTTAAAAAAAACATTCCGAAGAAAATTGAGATAGATAAGACACACGCTAAGGGGACCATTGGATGATATCGCACGCCAAGAAAATCCCTGAATGGGAAACAACGAGTTGGTCGTGTGACTCATGGTGATATCAAGGAGGTTGTGTGAAGAGAAGCTGAGAGTCTATGGGCTGTCATAGGATTACAGAGAATAGGACAGAGTGGAGATGTGCTGCTAAAGCCGTATAATCCACCGGGAATGCTAAGGAATAATATCAGTAATATGTTTTCAAAAGAATGCCTACTATACAAAGAATAGTCTTCTTGATAACCTGCTCTTCATCAGGTTGAATTAGTGTTACGAACAACAGTACTGCTGTTTACATAACATCGAATCAATAATACTGATAGATTACAGTTCAGTGCATCAACATAAAAATAAGCTGAACGTCAGACAGAGAAATTAGGAAAGATAATATTACAACTTCATGAATTTATAGTCTCCACTGGAGACCAGGGTAATAGTAGTGGCTGAACTTGCTTCTTTTGCACACAGAGCAGTGGTTGGTACACGAGAATTGCGATAGCCTCAGTTCTTTGGAGCATGCAGCGCTTCGATGCTTTTACAATTTATTTGATACCCAGAAGATGATAGGGAGGATCCTTCAATGCTAGCCTTTTGGACGTTTCGGAAAAGGTGGTCTAAGGTCGAACTGTTAATGGTTTTCACTACACCTTCACTTAGCCATACTGAGAGGTGTTCTCGAGCACAAAAAATCAAGTTCCTGTAACGACGGCCAATATAACTCACTCAACAAGCTCAGTTGAATTGGTAGATACAATTAGAAGTGGCTAGTTAGTCTAGATACTTCATCTTTCAATCGAGGAATCACCCTCGGTCGTGTAGAGAATAATACGTGTAGTTTGCCAGCATTAAAAGTTCTTTGAACTGATTTTCTTAATTGCTTACTAATTATTTCGCTTGATATATCGCCCTTAGATTGCAGTCGTATGTATAAAGGCTTCTTGCATATGTTTCTTAGATAAATTTGTCGGGATAGCTATTTTCAATCAAGGTATCATATACAATGCTTAGTTCGTCTTCAATTACTTCTTCTGAGCATATAGCTGTAACGCTATTTTGGCTAAGGGTCCTTACTAAATTTCTTTTGCACTGGAGGGGGACGAAACCATGAAAATGTGTATATTGTCTTGTCCATGTACTTCTCCGATACAAATTCTTCCTATACTACCATCTGGTTTTCTTGTTAGGAGGACATTCGGGAAGGCATTTCTGTTTTGGGATTCCTCTTCACACGAAAATTTCACAGCACAGTGTACTTCATTGAATTCAGTTGTTATTGTGTTCCTATCCGAATCATTATCATAAAGAATAAAGGTGTCATCAATATACCGGCAATAAAATGAGAATTTTTAGTTGATATATATGAATGTTCAACTTATTCTATTGTGTACTTACAAATACCCCTTTGTGTTTTGAATAGATTGTTTATCAATTCTTTAAAATTCTCCTCACAAATACCTTTTCGGATATTTCTGTTGAATACTCACAGAGTTCTGGTGCTGAAAGTGAAAACTCCTCTTTAGCTGTAATCAATTCTGTACGTGCATCTAAACCTGAGTCAACAGAAGCAACTTCACCGTCTGTAAATCTGCCTAATTTATCCGATTGGGTAAGAACATCTCGGCCAATGTATGATAAGATACCAACTACGGATTACGATCCTTTAAAGCTGTCAGTATCATCACCATCGTCAGCATTTGCAACAGTGGTGACAACAACAATAACAACAACACCAACAGGCCAACAAACATATGAATCACGTTCACGATCACTAGCTGCTCAACAACGGTCTTTATTCTCTGCTCTCCATTCGCATAGAAGACGTCTACCCCTAGGTTTATGGTGGAAACTTACACATAAAAAATTTAATCAAACTGGTGAAGAGTTTAGAAATGAGTTATGGAAAGCTCAGTTTATTCGACATCAGAAACGCTTTAGTTTACCAGTGAATTGTGGACCAGTCAGACGACCGTCAGGTAAGGAATCATAATAATAATAATAATTTGCTTTATTTTAAAACAGTACTTGTGATACAGAATAGAATTCTCAGCATTTCACTACAGTATTGCATCCAGTTAATACATTAACAATAAATAAAATTCTACATAGATAATGGCTAATCTAGGTTAATTTTGACAACAACACATTGGCATGTCGGTAGCAAGCCAAAATTGAACAGTGTTTGAAGGTGTTAGAAAAGTAGATACTACTAGCAGATTTACTAGCGTAAGCGGTAACAAAAAGGTTGAGATAAGAAAAAAAAGAAAAGAAAGAAAACGCTCCATCTTTATATGATACGAGTTGGAAAGACGAGATCCAGTTGTTCTGCTTACATTTCGCAAGCCATAGGTTTCGCGCCTAATGCTTTCTTCTTTATCGCACAGAACACGAACTAAGTAGGGTATGGTTGAGTTTTTGTACTTGCTAGTGCGAGCATATAGTTTCCTATATAGCTTCTGGTTCTGTCTGATTAGATAGATACAAGTGGAGAGTTGTGAATGAAGAGGGTGGTGTGAGTTAGATAGATAGAATGGATTTAGCCCATTTTTCACATGAGGCCAAGTGCCTGTCGACCAGAATAATAACAAGCTGGTTAAGTGCGTCGGTGGCACAGCGGTTAGGACTCTCGCCGATCATGTGCATGGTCCGGGGTTCGAGCCCACGCCGACGCACACCTGATATCTATGGTCGGCCTGCGAAACTTGAGCTACCGATATCCACGCTGAAAATTCCATACTTGTACCAAAAATACTGTGTGGAATCAAGCTGTAAATCAAAAATAAAAATAAATAAATAAAATAAAAAGTCGAGAGTTGCTTACCCTGCTGACCAGTTTTAACATTTTGCATAATAAGGTATAGTGTTTCTTCAGTAGCCCTGGAAAAACTAAGGGGGAACAACGGAGAATAATAGGCAGGATGCAAGAGTTAACGAGGGAATTTATATACAGCTTGGCAATAAATTCATATTAACTGTGATCAAGATTTGACCGGACAGTTTCAGAATAATTGCACGCTGAATGATAAGTAGACATAAGTAAATATTATATTCGTAAAATCACAGAGAGATTGAAATGAGTATTTCTAACGTTTCCTGAGTTCGGAAAGCTGGTTCGAAGTTTTTGAGGGAAATTAATCGAAATTAACATAACAGAGGTTTATATGCAGAAAAGAGGGACATGTCTTGTTTTTATAAACTTTGTCCAATCATATGAGTCATGAAACAGGTATCAACATGTATAATAAGCAAAATTGTATGAGCTATGATCAAAATTTGACCTCAGACTTTCAAAATTAGTCTACTTTTGTTATACGGACTTATTATTAGTGATATTATCTGTTTTCTCAATATATGCATGCCTTCACCTGTTTCATTTAACACATTCGTTATCTCATTATGGACCTCTCATTCCAGTCTTACTATCTCCTGTTTAAGGCAAACCACTTTGTACTAGCCACTCACTCACCTGACACCTTTTATAACCTTGAACTGATTTGTCAATTTTCCTACCCCACACTCTACAATTCTATTATGATTAATCACCAACATTGTCTCCCGTTTTACAATATTTTGTTAATCGATTACAGCCTAGCACGTTTGTCACACAAATATGACTATTTATTTTGACACCTCATAACTAATCACTTATTCTACGTTAAAAATGTATCCGCCGCATGACTAACTGGCCTTTATTGTAAAGACCACAAATATTATATTTTATAATTGTAAAAACCTGAAGAAGACAAATTATTGAAAAGAATATTCTTCGTTCATAATATGGGAATATTTCACACTATCAAATTTTGTTAAACAATTTAAATAGAGTGTACTTAACAACAGAATTTTAGTGCGTCGGTGGCACAGTGGGTACGACTCTCGCTGACCATCCACATGGTCAGAGAGTCGATCCCCTGCCGACGCACACCTGATATCTATGGTCGGCCTGCAAAATTTGGACTACCGATATCACTTGCTGATAATTCCGTACTTGTACCAAAAATACAGTGTGGAATCAAGCTGTAAACAAAAAAAAAATTACTTTCGACTAAAAGTTCATGGTCGTAGATAACTGAATGGGAAAATAAACGTGTATATGCAGTATACATTGGTGTGTGTATGTGTGCATGGGTAAACAGCTATAAAACATTTATTAGCCTCTCCATAAGAAAATATAGACAATCGGGAATATAGATCAAGTATGATCGATTAGTGATACATATCCATTTATATTTGTTAATCAGGATTTACCATGCATCAGCTAACATCACACCTTTACGTCTGTTTAAAATGTTGGGATTCACCCATATATTCAGGGCTTCTGAAGTCAGTCAGTCTTTCTTTATACGAACCAAAACCTTTCTGTAGAACCTTAGTCCTATCAAAGTCGATTTTGTGCCCCGTTTCTATTGAATGTAGTGCAATCACTGATCTGTTTTCAAGTCTGCCAAGATCTTTGGAACCACTTTTATATACTGCTTATGCTCCTTCACTCTTATATTTACCTGTCTGGAAGTTTCTCCTACATATACGGCATTACAATCCCCATAATTGATCTGGTATACACAATTCTGCTGGTTTTCTTATTCTATTTTATCCTTAACCTTCACCTGTGATGAGGAACGTAAGGTGTTAGTTGCACGAAAATACACTCTCATGTCATATTTATTAGGGCTTCGCTTTATCTCATCTGATGTTTCTTTACTGTAAGGAATCACCATGTCTTACTTAGCACAGAAGGTTTCAATTCATCCTTCTCTTCACATTTTTAATATCTTTTTATAAAGGCTATGGAGTAATTATTTGATTAAAGTGTAGATTGAGTCAATTTTAGTTCCCCAGTGATCTCTTCCTCCCACTCACTAACTAAACGTTTGGTTTTGTTAATCAGATTCTTGGCTACAGTTACTTTGGTAGTAAAGGGATATGATGAATAGAGTAATCTAAGTACCTATTTGAACATGTTGGCTTTCTGAAGATGTTTATTTTTTAAAGTTGACCATCTGATTGTCTTTTTTAATGAATGGTGTCTTCGCTGAATTAGCGTGGGAGAGCACTGTTGAAGAGTTCCAAACTAGCTGAAAGCAACAGCTCTCCAGTTTTCTCAGATTTTCCCTATGGTCCTCTAAATGATGTCAGCTCATGATGGAATCGTTCAAACAATTATTACATTTCATACAATTGGTTGCCTTGATAAATTTCGATAAAGAAAGGAAGACGAAATTTGCAGTATAAAATGATACCATCATTCTATTTCACAGGTTCTCATCAGCTGCCATTGACTACCTGAAATTACAATGACTATATAGATGATAATAACATACTTTAATGTTTGAGTGGTAGTAGAGAAGCGATACTATGAAAATGACGCATCGAAAATGATGAAAGCATTACAATTTTTTTAGTTTAAGTTTTCACCATCAATTTATACACTTTTAAAGTTGAAAAGAGTGGGAAGGGTAGGGCAGAAAACAGAAAACATTGATTAACAGAACAGTGTTAGCTTGTAGGTTTACATAGCAACTCAAAAAGTAAAAGCAGTTACAGTTTATGAGATTAAGATTTGTTCAGTGAGTTGAGATCACTGAATTACATGACTAATTAATATAATCAAAATCAAAATTCAGCTATCAATGGAGTGAGAGGTTAATCATACTCTCTTTTTGTATGCATAAGTCTGGTTTAAATCGTTTGATTGCGATCGCTTCGGCAAATCGTAGTAAATTTACTGCCTTTTATCTATTTAATATTTTGAAGGACTTAGAAATCTCTACGAGATGCCTAGTATCAACATTATGTCTGGTAATTGCACTCTGAGAATATTTGCTTCCTTTCAGGCACAGGTTTTTTGGAATATGTTCAGATAACCGGATAGAAGCCCTTCTCTCTGTCCTTCCAATGCACTGGCACCCATAAGTGCACGTAAATTCATAAACGCAGTTGGAGGTGACATCAGCAGGGTATTTATCCAGTTTTGAGTGGATTATAGAAGGAGTAGTGCTGTTCTTTATCGAAATTATTAAATTATTTGGAAAAAGTCATTAAATATCCTACCAGCTATTTATTTATTTCAATAGACACCAACCTATCTTCCTAAATATTGGAAAGCAACTTAATACTCGCTTTAACTCGCTTTTAGCAAATCAGCAGTGTAAATAATTCTTGTATTGCATTTTAGACACTGTGAAAACAGAGCTACAGTGTAGATGTCATCAACCGTTAACTTCAGAGTTATTACAAGAAATTCAACGAAAGCTACACGACACCTCATGGATACAAAAGCTGAACACTACAGAAAGCTCAGAAGTCAAGTGTTCAACTTCTGCTACCAGTAGTACTGCTGAGAGATGCTTTAATGCTGAAAATCTGACAGAGATATATCGTCGTGGAAGTGAAGCTAGTCAGTTGACAGCCTGGGAACAACGATTAAGACAAGTTAGTCAGTTTGTATATGCTTTTTTTTAAATGGACAGCTCATAGCTAAATTATCTTTTTCTTCTCATATATATTCCAGTCTAGGAGATTTTTTTCCTTCACGTTCCCCAGTGGAACATAGGCTTCAAGCTAGTGGCTTGAAGTTTCTGTAACAGTGTTTATTTTTACAGGATGGGGTTGCTGGCCTCATGCCCAACGTTTCCTTTCTACCAGCATTATTTCTGGCTTAACGAGGTAAAGGAGTGCATTGATGGCCAGGGATTGAACCCGAGACCATGTGCATGGTCGGCGAGCGTCCTAACCGCTGTGCCACCGACGCACAGTCTAGGAGATAGTTTTATTTATCTCATTCCTTATTTTGATTAAGCCTTTATAGTCAGTTTATTTTGGTTCTTTACCACCCAAATGAAAAGCCCCAAGCTGTAAATTTTCCGGAGTGACGCTGTAATTTCTCTCTTTCTATTATCACGACCAACAATTACTCTTTTCTGAACTTACTGTGTGTGTGTTGTCTACTAAACTAGGCAAGGTGTAGAAATGTATTGTCCGAGAGTCGAATCAGAATCACACAGTATCTGGCAAGCATTCCACCATCGAACCATCGGTGCTCATGTTAAATATTTAACAAAAAAAAATACTCTGTATAGTTAATACTGAAATCATTTATTACTCATTTCTAACCTAGGATAGCCTATTGAGGTCTTCTGTTGTACGTTGGTGGCACAGCGGTTAGGACGCTTGCCAACCGTTCACATGGTCCAGGGGTCGATCTCCGGCCGATGCACACCTGATGATATCAATTGTCGGCCGGCTAAATTTGGCCTACTGATATCACATGCTGAAAATTCCATACTTGGCTGATTTCTGATAAAAAGGCATTTAGTTTGGAGCAGTCACTTTGATATTCTACAGGCAAAGATACAGTCAGGTTGTCAGCATATTTAACAAAACCAATGTCATTTGAAGATGGTGGTAAGTCAAGTAGAAAGAAAGAAAGAAAGAAAAGAGAAGTGAGGAGAGTACAATACCTTGAGGGACATCAGCTTCAGTGAGCGCAGCAGTGGAGAATTTACCTTTTTTACAATGTACAGTATTCTGTTTGAGAAGTAGGAACGCAACTAGTTTGAGACCCAGGACTCAGTTTGTGTCAATGAGAGCTTATTTAGCAAGAGACATCTAGGTACAGAGTCGAAAGCAGAAGTGAAGTCGAGAAACGTGCAGTGAACTTATTCGGCATCTTTATCTAACGATGAGACGATACTGTTGTGTAAGACGGCTGCAGCGTCTAAAGTTCTCCTACTCTGTCTATATGCAAATTGTTTGGGGTCTTATCTGAAGTAAATCATGTGATGTAGAGTTGTTGCCTATGAAGACAGTGAACCAATTCTGTACGGTTGTCGGTTTTATCGGTATTTTCCTCGCAAATGTATCAATTACACACACACACACACATATATAACAAAAACAATTATTGTATCGCCCCCCCCTCTCTTTGGTTTTTAGTATAGTGACCTGTATAATCCTGGAACGCATACCCAATCACATCCGCATTTCATCAACCTATTCCTCAAATAGAAACGGATGATGATGATGTTGACGAAGAAGAAGGGAAACTCAATTCACTCTATCCATACTTCTCCTCCCAGTACACAGATGAAATGCTTATCACAAATAGTACAGAAGGTCAAGATATGAATCCTTCAGTTAAAACAATAGCTGAGCCAATCACAGTAGTAACAACAAGTAATACCAGTCCTAAACAACCTGTCCAATATAATACACAATTTCTATTCGATTCTGTCAGGGAGGATAATTCTCTTCTTCCTGGTTGGAATGAATCATCCTATGAACCGCATATAACTACTACTGCAAATGTTTCACCTATTAGTCAGTCAGGAATTGAATTGACCGATTTGAAAACTGAACTTCATAAGGTAAGTGTTTTTTTTATGTGATGGTTATGTCAGGTGGTTTGTTGATGTATTCTTCCTCTGAAGGTTTTGCTGCTGTGTAATGTAATGCTATCATTTCGGTGATTGCTACTACATCATCTGTTAATTAGCTAACCAACCTCTTCCACACTGAAATGGATGTAGTCGAAACAAATCGAAGTGATTCAATGCTTCTTGAAACAGCTGATTTCAAAAGGTTCTATTTATCATGCCAGACAGTTATTATTATTCCCTTGGGTTCTCAGTGGGACATGAGGCTTCAACATCACCTCACCACTTTGCCCTATTCTCTGTAGTTCTCTTTAACTAGCTACACACAATCGCCAATAAACGCCTATCTCCTCTTCACACGACCTCCTCCATATCAATCTCGATCACATATGCCTAACTTATCGTTTCCCACTCGGGTTCCACTCGACCTGGAGTTACTATGTTGTCATCTTCAACTGTTTCCTCAGCGTGTGTCCATTTTGTTTGGGATAATTATTGAGGACTAGGTTCTTGACTGATTCCTTCCTATAGTTCGTTACTGCTAAGAGCGACTCAGGGATTGGGTTGCTAACAGGGAATAATCTCGTTGACTTAGAATATGCAGATGATATAGTCTTCTAGGCGAGGACGCTGATAAAATGAAGCAGAGTCTTCTGAACACCTTGAGGTGCAATCTACGAATATTTGGCATGCGATTCGCTCCCAGCAAATGTACGATGACGGTACAGGACTGGACTGATGCCCAATGAAATTGTTTTGTTCTTCGTTATTACTATTTCTTTGTCTCACACCTCTGTTTACTTTCTCTATTATGCATTTCTTCTACTTTCTTCTCTTGCTTTGTGCGGTACAAGGAGGGAGTGTGGCGGCTTGAACTGTGGATTTTGTGGATCCGGAAAGTTAAAAACCATGAACATAACTGAACTGTGCCATGAAGAATGATTTTGAAATATGTCACCAGCAGTCAGTCTCGCCAACCATTGATTCTTAACATGTCGACAACCCCAGCTAGGGCGGTCTATATCTTCGTGTGTGTGTGTGTGTGTAGGTGTGTGTATGACTCAAACCAACATTCAAAGACTTCATGAAGTGATTGCTTGTTTGTTTTGTTAAGTTTGACTAAATGGAAAAATAGCAAAACAATCCTTTAACAGTGTCTGTTTCAATGCGGTGTTAAGGGGGAAGCCTTCATGATAAATAAGGCTTGATTCGACTCCACCTGCTTTTTTTTGCTTTTCTGCAGTGACGCTAACATTTAGAACTAACTTGCCTTGTGTGTCTGATAATCAGCAATTAGTAAAACTTTGCCGTCATTCCTTCCGAATCCCCCCTGTCTTCCTGTCATTCTGTTTGTGTTTTTTCTCTTCTGCTTTTGTAGCTTGAAGTAGAAAGTAATACAATGCAGTCAACTCTGCCCAGTGTTCGACTTCAATCTTCGACAGACTCATCAAAGTCTATCGACGATTATGGAATTCATAAGTTGAATGCTTCAACTAATTTACCGAGATTTCTTCTACCCTCAGCAACATCGAATATTCCATCATTTTTATCCGATCAGGCAATTAATTTACAACAATCTACCCTACCAATAAAGCATACACATGTACCAAGTGAACAATCCCCGTCGACTTCATCCTCTGTCTATTGGTCTCATCGGGCTTTTGAAAATAACAATAACAATACCAATAATAATAATAATAACAGTGTGCATCGACGAGCATCATCTGTAGTCGGTGCACCGATAGACACAAATTATTTAATGCCTGATAGAGATATGCTTGAAAAACCAGAGGATACAATACGTAGGCATAGACATTCTGTTGGAGAGACATTCGATGATAAAATGTCTAGCTTTGATTATGAATACTGCTCAAATATAGATCCGAGTGTATTCAATGTTAGTTCAGAGTAAGTATACGTATACGCATGCATTATTACTATTATTTCCTTTAATTCCTAGAGGAACACAAGGCTTCCGCCGCGCGCCTCCATTGCATTCGGTTCTTTGCTAACGTTTTCACCCGACTCCAAGTCTGCAACCCACATGCTTTCATCTCTCTTCACATCACACCCTCCGCCATGTCACCCTTGCACTGACGATCAACTCGTCGCTTCCTTTCGGCCAGGTTCCACTCGAGCAATGGCTTGTCTAGTGATGTCACTTGATGGTTTCCTCATAGTATGCCCAATCTATCTCCATTTCTTGCTGCCTATTTGTTGCACAATCGGTTCCTGCTGTGTTAGTTTGCTCCTAGAGATCCCTGTTGCTGATCTTTACTGGCCGGTCATCTGATCTTGAGTACAAGCGAGACAGCTAGCTGTTGATGAAGCTGTATAGTTTGTTTGGTGTGCTCTTCATGAGCACCAAGTCTTGATCCGTATGGCAAGTGGCACTAATTTCGTAATTGAGTTGAAAACCCGGATCTTATTTTTCATGTTGATTAGTGCTGTTTATCTCCACATAGACTGTTTTGCTTTCGTGATCCTCACGCTTTGATATCCTCGTCAGTTCCGTCCGCCTGTAGTTGAGACGATGCTTCCCAGGTGGGTAGGCAAATAAAGGAGGTTGTCTCTTTCACGTTGTTTCTTCCCATTTATGCTGGCTGATTGTTGTCTGTTGTTGTTGTTGTCGCTGTTGGTGTTGACCAGGAATCTCTATCACCTCTATTTTCTCTATGTTTACTTGGAGTCCTATCTTCTTTGCATGCTTCTTCTATCGCCACCTTGTTGCTTTTCACTGGCATTTCTTCCAGGTTGTGGTAAATCAGACATACATCTTCTTCTCGAATTGATTAGCTTCTCCTAATTTTTCATAGGAGACTGAAATTATTTCGATCACAACAATATATATGATCTGTTTGACAGTATAAATGGTTAAAAAATAGAAATATGAAGCAATATACCACTGATCGCTGATGATTGATCTATATATATATATATATATATATAGTTGGATACCACTGACACACTTTATCCTAAATACTGCGCTGAAGATGTCCAGAAAGACGACGGAAGCCCCGCAACTAAACCAACCAGCTCAGAGAACACTATTAATTGCAAACCGCTGACACACACACCAACTAAATAGGCCTTGGAAGCCAAAGATTGAAATGATCTTTCATAAAAAATGCTGTTAAGCTAAATTGGTGACTTTTGACGATTGATGGTGTTCGAGGTTGAAATGTGAGTAAGATGCCTGAAAATTTATAAAAACATAAAGATTGAGCAGCGAAGAAATATATTTACTTTTCAATTAGATCCTCATCTCAATATGGCTCTACTCTAACATGACACGTATAGCATTTTTATTATTACAAATACACAACAGTTTACCAATCAAGTAAGTGGCACTGATATGCTTGTTAACAATAATTAGTCAGTCAGTGTCAAAATGTCAATGGGCAGTGGGGTGATAATTAACGAAGAAAATCAATACACGCAATTAAAAGGTGGAAATGGTTAGAATAAATTAATTTTACTAGGATAACACGTAATTAAAGATGAAGGGATCAGAAAAAATAAAAATAAAATAATTTGGACAATAATAATTTTTATAATTTTAAAGGTTTAGGGGAGGGAGTCGAAGTAGTCCGGTTTATACATTCATGTAACGATGACCAAGATAAGGAAAGTGACTGCACAAATTTCTTCTGAACACACAGGTATGTCTGGCTTCTTCAGGTGGATTCCTATTGCTTCAGCTGTGGTATGTAGAAGACGAACTCGTAGAGCAAAATTAAGATTAGTAGGAATGCGATAGATAATTTTAAATGCTGTATTAACGTCAACCCTATGCTCGGTATCTACAAGGTGAGCTACAATAGAGCTATTTTTAAGTAGATCTTGTTTGTCCCTTGCTTAACCGTGTTGGATGATGTTCGGAAATACGATGATGAACCTGCCTAATTGTACGCCCAATGTAGCTGGCTCCGCAGCTGCAGTCAAACTGGTAGGCAATTAGGCTACGAATAGAATAGGAATCCACCTGAAGAACCAGCCAAACCTGTGTGTTCAGAAGAAATTTGTACAGCCGATTTCCTTACCTTCCTTGGCCATCGTTACATGAATGTATAAACCCCTCCCCCTAAATCTTTAAAATTATAAAAATTATAATTGTCCAAATTATTTTATTTTACTTTTTATTTATTTTGACCACTTCATCATTAATTACGTGTTATCCTTGTAAAATTAATTTATTCTAACCATTTCCACCTTTTAATTGCCGTATATTGATTTTCTTCGTTAATTATCACCCCACTGCCATTGACATTTTGACACTGACTGACTAATTATTGTTAACAAGCATATCAGTGCCACTTACTTGATTGGTAAACTGTTGTGTATTTGTAATAAAAATGCTATACGTGTCATATAAGGGTAGAGGCAGAGTGAGATGAGGATCTTATTCTTTGCATAATCTTTCCTTTTGCTAAATGTCTAAATTGGGATTTTTTTCTCTAGTGAAAATTTATAATCTAATGCTTACTAATGACTGACTATACAGGAGGAAACTGCCCGAAGTCCTAGAGGGAAGTCTTGACCAGATGAGATAATCAGAATAAATACTTGGTGATGGATGATATTGACTGACGTTTTAGGCTACGCAGAGTAAACATGTAGAGGTTGAAATTCACAGGCTGTAAAAATCACGTTCTAGTGGCTTTACTGGTCGATGGACTCACCTCATCACGTAGAGGTCCTGGCTTCTGTCTCCAGTGTGATGACGGTTGTATACTGTTGAGGAGTCAAAAAAGTGTAACAAAACAGTAGTTATTCAGGATCTCGATGTTCTCGATGATCATCTTCTCACTGTGATATCCGTTTTTGATCAAGATTTCCTACTTACTGACATAACCTCAATTACTTTCAAGAGTTTGTTCGTAAGGATTTCATTTGTTTCCACTTTGATCACGGAATGATCATATCAGTTAGAGAACCATTGGAAATCAATAGGGAGAGTACTGGGCAGTTGGTTGAAAAAAGTCAATAATATGCTTTCAGGATTTCATCATGAGCTGACATTAGTTAGAGAATCAATAATATGCATCAAATTTTACAAAGTAATTATAATTGATTAAAAATGCCCATTAAAATTTTCAAAAGAATGGTTAGTGAACAAAGAGTACCCTTTTCGGTAACCCCTTCATCATCAGGCACTATAGGCATTATAGTGAATAAATGAATTAGTGTTATGAACAACATCAATAATATTGATAGATTACAGCCCAATAGCATCAACATAAAATAAGCTGAATGTCAGACAGAGAAATTAGGAAAGATAATATTACAAATTCATGAATTTATAGTCTCTACTGAAGGCTGGCCAGGGTAGTATTAGTGGCCGGCTGAACTTGCTTCTTTTGAACACAGAGCACTGGTTGTTTGAGGCGAATCGCAATAGCCTCTGGTGTTTGGAGCATGCGGTTCCTCGATGATTTTGGCAATTTATTAAGCAGCCGGTAGGTGATGATAGAGAAGGATTCTTCATTGCTGGCTTTCTGGCCGGTTTGGACCAGGAGGTCTAATGTCAAACTGTAAATGGTTTTTACTATACACCTTTACTTAGCCATTGTGGCAGATATTCCCGAGAGAGTACGAAAAATCAAGTTCCTATAGCAACAATCGATATAACTCGCTTCACCACAAGCGCAGTAGAATTGGTAGATACAATTGGAAGTGGCTAGTTTCTCTAGGTACTTCATCTTTCAGTCGAGGTAGCACCGTCGGTCGTGTAGAGAGTAATACGTGTAGTTCGCCAGCATTAAAAGTTCTTTGAAATGACTTTCTTAATTTCTTCCCAATTATCTCACTTGGTATATCGCCCTTTAATTGTAGTCGTATATAAAGAGGCTTCTTGTTTACAGATAGTGAGTAGTCCTTTCCAGCTCTTTTTTGTCATGTGTTTCTTGATAAATTTGTCGGGATAGCTATTTTCGGTCAAAGTATCATATACAATTAATTATACAATATAATTAATTATCAAACATCTGAGTTGGTAGTTCATTGATCTGGGGTTCGATTCCCTAGTTTGTTAACCAGTGGTAAATCTGAGAAAGAGGCAAAGATGGACATGAGGCTAGCCAGCCATCTTAATACACGGCAACTGAAATTTCAAGGCTGAAGCCTTATGTCCCACCTCGGATGACAAAGGAGTAAAACAGAAATCCGGGCAAGAGTGATTATTGTTTAATTTTTAATTCAATTAAGCTTTTTCCGTCGATTGATTGGACTGAAGCGATCGTTCTTAGGTGTTGACATGTCGGCTCCATGTGCAGATGCTTCAACGATGTCAGCTGATGTCACTTGAGGTCGCTTGGTGGACGGTGACACTAGCAATGGAATCCAGGACAAGGCGTATTTCGTCCTATTTGGGACTCGCCTAATAGATAATGCTTTGGCGTTTGAAGCTATGGGTTCTGGGTTCGAGCCTCAGTGGGAGCACCACATCACTCACTCACTGACTGGGGATTGCAGATTCATCCACTGGCTGACGAGTCTCAAATAGGATGAAATACACCTTGTCCTGCATACCACTACTATTTTCACCACCCACTAATTTTTATTCTTTAACCCTTTTTGTATGCCCCTCCTTGTTTCTTCTTTCAGGTTTCAATCGTCTACTATACCCAGAGACGTTAACTTGAATTCAGAAATGATTAATATCTCACTTCATGACAGAATGAGTATAAAGTCGCTATCCTCCTTTTCAACGGCTACATCATCACCTGGTAATAACACTAATAGTAGTAATAGTAATAACACAGGGATTGGACAACGTCTTTTCGATCGTCTACATCCTGAACGTACAAATTATCTGCATATGTTACAACATCCTGGTGGATCATTAGATCGTCGTTTAAATCCTGATTTCTTAGAAGTCCAAGACGAAAGGTACTATGCCTACCTGTTTGCTTTGTTTTATACTGTTCAATTTTTTTCTTTTATTGCAGTTTTCTAGATATTTAAGGCGGAAACTTTCATTAGGGATAGGATTTCATCAAGAGCTGAAATCGGTTAGAGAACCAATCGGAAAACCATCGAGGGAGTACTGGATAGTTGTTTTGTCAGCCTGGTCTGGCACTCTTCATCAATACGCACCCACTGTGATTTGACTCCAGGACCTTCCAGTTACAAGGCGAGCTCGTAGACCATTAAGCCACTGGGTCCCGATACGAGCCAACTCATCTACGAGCTCGCCCGGTAACGGGGAGGTCCCATAGTAAAATCACAGTGGGTGTACACTGAAGGAGAGTGGCAGACTAAGCTGACGAAACAGCTGTTCAGTACTTCCTAGTGGTCTTCCAATGGTTTTCGAACCGATTTCAGCTCATGATGAAGTCCTGCAACTAATCACATATACTACCTGCAAACCGAAACATGAATCAAAATTTTCAGTTATTCAACATCCTGAGTGAGACTAATAATAATGGCATCATCTATCTATAGACTTACCTACATATATGGATGGTTTTAAGGGTAACCTGAAGAGCCTAAAGTTCAACCCCATAACCCTAAGGACTGAGTAAGAGAAGTTCTAATATAAAAACCTCTTTGACTTCGCAAATATATATATATATATATATGGTGATTGCCTATAATCCCCAACAGGCCAAAATCTCTGGTTGATTACTGGTAATTTATGAAATGGCGCCTATTTCTTGCCACGTGTCAGGTGATCTACAATAGAAAACTCAACAAGGAGTTCGAAGTTCATACTAGAAAAAAGACAAGGCTCGCTGTCTATTTTATCACCGATGATAATTGTGTTGGACTGTATTATGCGTCAGACTGTGCATCGGGAGCGAGGAGACAGGAATACGCTAAACGATCTGGATTTCACACGTTGGCGATATATATGTCAAGTTTCACACAAACTCGAAAACTAGCAGGCGTATAAATCTGGGCACTTGTGGACCCAGCTGAAGACGATGGCAGAAAAAAGAAGAACGTGTAGGTGTATTGTTGAAGCTTTTTGTTCCATTTCGGGATCCAGTGGAATAATAATAACATAATAGAAACTGAGCAGCAGGACCAGATGGAATCTCAGCAGAACCATTGAAAATGGATCCAGAAATAACAGCGGACTTGATGACACCACTACTGGAGAAGGTGTGGAAAGAGGGCAAGGTACCCGAGGATTGGAGGAAAGGCTACTTATTCAAACTTCCAAAGAAAGGAGACTTAGGTCAATTCAAGAACTGGTGCAGAATTATGCTCCTGTGTATACTAAGTCGCATCATCCTGGAGAGAATCAAACACGCCAACCTGGATGACCGGAACAGGCTGGATTCAGGGGAAACAAGTCATGTATCGATCAGATTGCAACACTACGATCATCATTGAACAAAGCTTGGAATGTCAGTCACGTCTCTACCTCAAATTCACCGACTTTTAAAAGGCTTTCAGCAGCGTTGATCGAGAGGTGATTTGTTAACTACTTCGCTACTGCGGGGTGCCGCCGACATCTCATACAACAGTTGTACGATAATACTGCATGCCAAGTAATCCAAAACGGGAAACTCACAGAATCCTTCGAAGTGAAGACGGGAGTAAGACAACGCTGGTTGGCTGCCTACTATCTGCAATGATTTTCCTGATTTCAGTAGATTCGATAATGCAACAGACAGCGGGCGAGGCAGCGAGGAGACAGGCATAAAATGGACCCCCACAAAAAACTTGGAGGATCTGGACTTTGCCGTTGATATATCTTTGATTTACCACCAATTAGAAGATGTACAAGTGAAAAGCAACAAGTTGGCGATAGAAGAAGCATGCAGAGGAGATAGGACTCCAAGTAAACATAGAGAAAATAGAGGTGATGAAGATTCCTGGTCAACACCAACAGCGACAACAACAACAGACAACAATCAGCCAGCATAAATGAGAGGAATCTAAAAGAAAACACCTCCTCTACCTACCTACCTGCGAAGGATCGTTTCAACTACAGGCGAACGGAACTGACGAAGATATCAAAGCAACGAGGATAGAGAAAGCAAGACAAGCTTTCATTACTCTCAAGTCTGTGTGGAAGTCAACAGCCCAGCTCAGCATGAAAACGAATATCAGATCCGGGTTTTCAACTCCAACGTGAAGTTAGTGCTACTATACGGATCGGTGATTTGGCGCGTCATAAAGAGCACCTCAAACAAACTACAGACCTTCATTAACAGCTGTCTTCGCTCAATACCACTCAAGATCAGATGGCCGTCCAAAAAAGATTAGCAACAGGGATCTCTAGCAATGAGTGAACCAACCCAGCAGGAACCAATTGTGCAACAAACATGCAGGAAGAAATGGAGATGGATTGGCCATACTCTCATGAAACCATCAAGTGACATCACTAGACAAACCATTGCTCGAGTGAAATCCGAAAGGGAAGCGGTGAGATGATTGTTAGCGCAAGGGTGACTTGGAGGACGTCATGTGAAGAGGAGATGAAAGCATGTGGGTTGCAGACTTGGAGCCAGGTGTAAATGTCAGCAGAGAACCGAGCGCAATGGAGACGTGCGTAGCTGAAGCCCTATGTTCCTCCAGGAATTTAATGAAAATAATAATTATGAATGCATTCCATAGTTTTGCTTACTTTTCCCATTTCTCATTAGTTATCCTGCACGTTTAGATAAGAGATGCGCTACGGAAAGTTCTGCTTGTCGATAATATATTATATGCAATTAATTTAATATTAGAAGACGGCAAAGTTAAACTTTCGACACCACTAACAACCAATCAGCAAACGACCTTGAACGGACCAGTCACATTAAAGAGGCATATATGATGAATGGAAATGTATATTTGTAGAAAAAAGCATAAAATAGAGAATAAAAAAGTTACATGGGATATCTTTCTCGAACATGTGAGAGAAACATCTCCCAGTTTAGCATGGGACTGTCAATGGAGAAGTTACACCATATCCTGTACATATATTCATCCAAATGACCATAAATGAGATCCATTTATAGCCCTTATCCTATTTTTCAACCTGCCCCAAAATCCTTCAATAGAATTTGTATGTGTCCTCGTAACGGGATCCACAAAATCACTTGAATGTTTGACTCTATGATGAATATATCCCAGAGATGACAGTGAATTGTAGCCTTTCCACTCGTCGGTGTGTATAATTGACCCCCGCTTAACAATTCTGGTAATAATAGGTATAAGAGTAGTTGCTTTTCTATCTGCTATCCTTAGGGAGAGAAGCGACCTAGCGAGAAAAGTTCCTACGAAATATTAAAATTATCAGCTTACTCTCTCTAGCGTTATTAGGCTTCAAACATATAGCACAACGATGAACAAACCCATCAGTTGATTTGGTATAGCTTTTTAAAGTCATGATACCACCACACAAACAAATTCGCTCTTTCCGGCGCAACTCAAATCCAGGAAATACTGGAAAACGCTAACCTCCTCGAATTGCAACAATAGCCTTGTAAGGTCACGCATTAGAAATGAATCAAGCGCTATACAACATTGAACTGCGTTCGTGAACCTGATTGGATAATTCGACATCGTTCGTGAATCTCATTGGATAATTCGCTGATTGGTAGTTAGTGGTGTCGAAAGTTTAACTTCGCCTAAAGACGTAATTACGTGTATTGCACAATGCATTTGAATAACACATTTTGAATAATTTAATCACTTCACAAGTACTTGTCGTAGAGTGAAAGTACCAACTTAAGTTAAAAAGACTGTATATTTGTTGAAATCAAAATAACACTGGAGATCAATAAACCAATAAAGTAGAATAGCACTTCTGCTCTGGTATCAAACAAATTTACCAAAGGAGATGTAACTTGTTGGCGAATTGTTTTTGAACACATGAGTACTTTAAACATCCTAATTGCCACCTACGGCTTCCACAAAATTTGAGATATCCCCCCATCCCTCCCTCTTTTCCCCAACATTTTGTTGGATGGTTTAAAATAGGTGCAGACATCAATTTCACGTTCTGTTTCTATAATATGTTCCGCAATAGAAGAGATAAGTCATCTTTGTTCACAATTAACAGGTTCAGGGGATTCGATTAGTTTTTGAAACGCTTACTTGCAAGGATTGATGAGTCCTCCTTAAGTATGTAAGGTAGATGCATGTGAAATGTGACATCATTTTTTGTGTATGTTCTAAAGCCTTAGATGGATGGATATATGGGCTTCATATTCTTAACTATCATTCGTGTCTTAGCTACATAAAAAAGTTTTTCTGGTCATGGTGTTGAATATTTGTCTGGTTTTCAAGCCGCTAATGATCACCTCTAAAAATAGGATACATCCTTATTAAAGACTGACTAGGATATCAAATCGACAGTCGGGAAGGCGAGAAACACATTCATCAACCTGAAACCAATCTGGAAATCTTCGTCACTCAACTTAGTATCAACAACAAAATTCAGTCGGATTTTCAATACAAACAACGTCAAGTGAGTCAGTTCTTCTATACGGATCAGAAACTTGGCGGGCTGGGGGGTCACAAAGAATATTTCCAACAGGCTGTTCCAGACCTTTATCAACCAACAAATGTCTTTGCTGGTTCCATACTGAAGATGAGATGGCTGGGCTGGAAAGAATCACCAACAACAAGAAACTATGGGAAGGAACAAACAAAACAAGAACCAGTCTCCCAATAAATATGCAGGAGAAAGTGGAGATGGATTGGACACTCGCTGAGGAGGCCGCTGGGTGATATCACCCGCGTATCAGGCGAGTGGGTCATCAGTGCGAGGATGACATCGAGGAGATCGTGTGAAGAGGAGTTGAAACATAGATGCAGGTGAAAAGTACAGCAGAAGCAAGACAGAAGCAAGTGGAGACGTGCAGTTGAAGCCCTATGTTCCACTAGGAACCCAAGGGAACAATAATCAATAATATAATTAGATACTTTGCATATGAAATTGGTACCTGCTGGGGATTCAAGTATCATTTGGAATAACATTAGTCAATGAGAATCCAGGGAAATTCAGACGACCATAGCCAAATAGTGAGCTAAATGCCCGCGCTGTTAGTTACCATCCCACCTAGAACAACTTCATGCTGGTATTTGAAGCCCTATGTTCCACTAGGAACCCAAGGGAACAATAATAATAATAATAATAATAGAAGACTGAGCCTTTTACTTGTTTGCTTTTGTAAATTTATGTCTTTAAATCAAAACAAGGTTTTGAGCGAACAGTTTTTTTCGATAACTTCTTCTTCAGGCTCTACAGTTATAAATACATAGTGTTGTTTTATAGTCAACAGAATACAAGTGTCATTGAGGTGAGAGAAATGCGATAACCACAAAATACATACAAACACACATTGACAAAGGGGCACTGAATGTGAGGGCTGACCGATAATGTTTAATGATAAAATAAAGAGGCTGAATTGTAAATTGTAATAAGATGTTACAGAATTGGTAGGCTTAGTATAAAATCATAAAGGTTGACAAAAACAATGAGGTGAAATAAACTGGGTGGAGAAATAGATAATAAAGACATGATATCACAAAATGATAATAATAATAATAGTAATGGTACAAAAAATTATGATCCTGGTGACCTTATAGTTGGCCAGGGTAGGCAAAGGGAGTGAGTAAGTTTTTTCTGTACACAGGTTTGGTCTCTCTCTCTATTAATCTCTAAAGCCTCAGCTTTGGCTAGGGGGGGTAATCGCGTGCCTTTGGGGATACACACAACTGTAAATGACTCATCTACTTTGATGCTGTGTTCGCTATCCACTAGATGACACACAGAATTGCACTATTTAATGATTTGGTTGCTCTTTTCCCAAGCCAAACAGGAATATGTTCACGAGTGCGTAAAGATAAATTCCTTTGAGTACGACCTATATAACTAGCTCCACAGGAGTAGTTGAATTTATATACACACATTGATGTCACCATTTTGGGCAGTCTATCTTTAATGTAAAGTGTCAGTATCGGTTTGGTTGAGAAATTGATATGCAGTTTTGCGGCATTAAAAGTTCTTTCAATTGATATCGTTAATCTACGGTTTAAATATATCACTGGATATACCGTCTTTGTACTGAATTTATGTCCGTTTATTTATATTTTCTATAGATTTATCAAGAATGGTTGCCCAAGTTAACTGAACTATCTCGGAAAGCATTCGATGCTGCTAAAGACCGGATGACTAAAGTCAGACCGACGCATACGCCTCAATCACTAGTTCGTAATTTTGTACATTCTGATATACTTTATCCATCGACAACAACATCGACTGGTTGTTACAATACAACCCTGCACAATGATGCCAACTGTTCGATGAGTAGTGATACAATCAATATACCCTTTCCATCGCCATCATCAGTCTCATTATCACAGACTGATCCTATGAAAGATGATCAACAACAACAACAACAACAACCACCTATTCATACTGATCATGAAGATGTTATTGAATCTGTGGATATTGATCATGAATCAAATATTATCGATCAAGATGTGGATGAAGAAGAGGATGATGAGAAAGACTGTGCACTGGCTCCATTGCAAACTCATATGCTCAGTACAAATGTCCAGTCAATGCATTACTCGTCACGACCAAGGCATAGAGGGATCAATCAAGTTGTTGGGCAGAATTTAACTTATCCACAACAAGTAATGCCTTTCTTTCATGGAAATCTATTGAATCAAACCAGTCTACAACAATATCAACAACACCAGCAGCAACAACATCAAGCTAGCTGCCTAAGTCAATTACCGTCGACAAGTAATCCAACTGCTGGGGGTTATGCATTTCAAGATTTAGTGGATTTCTCCAACCCACAAGCTTTACCAGCTGCAGCTGCTGCAGCTTCCCTACTACTCTTTCGATCTACTGATGATGACGATGATTGGCTGCTATTGATCGAGTGAATCAACGTATCGCCTTAGGTCGATTGACTGGTAATTTTTCAGATACTAGCACACTGTTGGGGAGTAGTAATGAATATCCAAATCTGATTGGTGGAATACTTCCACCTCCACCAACAATACAACTACCACAAGACCAAATACAGTCAATACGGTCGTTGCCTATCTCACAACCGATCCTTCAAACGCCTTTATCAAATCCTACACTGATTAATAGGAATGTATTGAACAGACGAAACAATCTGCCATACCAACAACAACAACAGGGCAGTCTCAATCCACAATCTTCTGGGATCATTCCGCATCATCGACAAAGCATGACAGACAGTAATGAAGGCACCAGTGAGCCTGTTGTCACACAAACTTCACCATCATCATCATCCAATGTGTATAGTAGTAATCTACCGAGTTCATCTTAATAGTCAGTCATTGCATAATTTTTATTCCATTTTTGTGTATATTAATTATTACTCCGACTATTTCGGCATTTATTTTTCTGAATCATTCACTAATGTAGCTTTTCCCTATTTGCCAGTGAACAGTAGTCCAGAAACACTTGAATGATGGGATAAGTGATGAATGTAACACTGTTAGTGCTGTTATCTTGTGTTTTGTTTTTAACGTCTGACTGGTATTCAGATTTTTGTCTGTCTGTCTGCTTTTTTTCACTGCTGATCATCGATCGTATCATGTCATATTATTGTCGTCGTTTACTCTTATATTGCTTGCTATCATCATAATCATCGCATTATCATTCTCATCGCCGTCATCCTCATCATAGTGATCATTATGGCTGTTCAACAAATTGTGTTTACATTGCCTTCTCCTGTAATTTCCCCGTTTCTTTTTTGTATTTTCAATTGGGATTATATAAATGTACACTTGTATTTCTTTTTTGACTGCATTTCTGTGTGTATTTATATTCGTATATATATATGAGTGTTTGTGTGTATGTGTTAGCATAAAGCCTTTGTGAATTTCTCCCGAAAGAAATCCGAAACGATAATCCAAACTATAGATTTAACCACACGTAGAGTGACGCGTAAAGTCCAAAATACAGGATATTCTGCAATACGGTACTTTATTACATAAAAATAGATATATAATATACAAACCTCAAAATGTGAGGTGTCTGTGGCTAAATGCCGTCAAATGCACAACCACTGTGCAGTCAATAAGTAAAAACAGCAATGCTGTGTCAAGGTTGATCCACGTGTCGGTTCAAACGGCCCGCGAATGCCAAGCAAAGAATAAACAAATATGAACAAACAACTTTCAATAGTAAAGCATACACTATAGGGTAAATGCAGCAAATAATGTTTAAGGAGAAGAAAAATAAGAAGTATACATTAATAGAATGATAATAGAACAAGTGATATAACTGCAGTTGTAAGCAAATGTCATTGTTATAAATTAACATATAAAATCATACTACTTACTAATGGCAAGTAGTATAATGTTGAACAAAAGAAAGATTGAGAATGAACAGGTAGGAAAGGAATTAACACCGCCCCTCAAAACCAGCCTGGTTTTCCCTACTTTACCTGCTAGTAAGACACAGAAATGGTACAATTTACTCTCGCCACATTTGCATCCACTATCCAGCTATATATCCTACAAAGTGCTTATCTCTCCTCAATACCTTCTAATAGGCAAACCTTACGCACATCTCGGTTGACTATACCCCTCGGTGTCTTGATATCCACTTTTCTGATATACCCATCACAGCTTGCCGTAACACCTGTAATTATTCCCATTGACCAACGATTGCGAGGTGAAGGCTCCGCAGTCACTAGTACTAGGTCTCCCACTTGTAAGTTTCGATGTCGTTGAACCCACTTTGCACGCGATTGTAAGGTCGTCAAGTACTCCCGCTTCCACCGTCTCCAAAACGTATCGGCAAGGAGTTGCCCTTGTTTCCATCGTCGTGAATAACGTCCACATAAACTAACGTCGATTTCAGGAACCTGTTCAGGATTTCTTGATAAGAGAATATGATTTGGTGTCAGCACATCCAACTGACTTGAGTCATCATAAACAGGTACTAGCGGCCTACTATTTAGTATCCTTTCTACTTCTGTCAAATAGGTCATGAGTGATTCATCTGTGAGGACTTGCTCCTTCGAAACTGCGCTTAACACTCGACGTACGCTTCTGATCAACCTCTCCCATACTCCGCCACGGTGGCTAGCATAAGGTGGATTTAACTTCCATTCTATACCACGATTTGTCATAGCTCTCATCATACAATCACTGTCTAATTGTGGCACAACTTGCTGTAACTCACGATCAGCCCCACAAAGTTTGTACCCCGGTCACTGTATATCTCCCTTGGAGTCCCCCTGCGGTTGGTAAAGCGTGAAAGCATCATTAGGAATGAATCGATAGAAAGAGCGTAAGCTACTTCTAAGTGAACCGCACGAGTTTTCAAACAAGTGAATATGCATCCATATCTTTTGTCTGTAGTCCGCCCCCGCCTAACGATAAAGGGGCCGAAGTAATCTACCCCGGTGCTAGAGAATGGAAAATCTGACGTGACCCTTGCTATGGGTAATTCTGCCATCAGTTGTTCAGTAGGTTTTGCAGACCTGATTCGGCAACCGATGCATTTATTCACCACACGCTTAACTACTGCCGCTCCTTTCAATATTCAATATTTCATACGCAATGCTGACAAAAGATGGGCTACTCCCATATGTCCTTCAGTCTCATGATAATAACGAACAATAACCTCCGTGACAGGATGAGTTCCTGGCAATATAACTGGATGTTTTTCCGAACTTGACAGTTGACTATTATTCAGTCGTCCGCCGACACATATCAAGTCACCTAAGATGACAGGATGCAGTTTCTTGATACGTTGAAGGAGTGGCTTGTATTTACTATCCAAATAGCGTTCACACATAACTCCTTTGATTTTACCGAACTCTTGTTTTTGCACGTATCTAAGGATATCTTCCTCTGCCTCTAACATCTCACACGTTTGTAAAGGGCCTTGCACTAGACGTTTTAGTAGAAAAACTTTAAACCTTTTTAACCAGGCTACCGCTCTACGAAGTTTTGTCCAAGAAGAGAAATACGAGAATAAGGTGTCTGTCGGATTTACGGCTGTTTGTGTCGTTAAGATGGTGGCTTGCTTTAGCTTTATGTCAGATGGAATTATTGGCACGCTTTTTCCATCGAAATTCGGCCAATCCTTTTTAGGATTTTTGAGAAATTCAGGACCATCGAGCCAGGTATGTATACGCTCGTACTCACTCATCTTTATTCCCCTGGAAGCAAGGTCAGCTGATTCATATTAGTTGGTACATGTCGCCATTGAGCCGCGTAGTGTTATCAAGTATAAACCCTACTCTGTTAGCTATGTAGGTTTTGAAGCGGGATGTGGTATTGCGGATGTAGCTTAACACAATCATAGAATCTGTCCATAGATAAACATCACTTAGTTCCAACTTTATTTCCTCTAAGATGTATTTTAACAGCTTCACTGAGAGCACGGCTGCTTGTAGTTCTAAACGTGGCACGGTGACATGCTTCAAGGGAGCCACTCTAGATTTGCCCATAACAAAGCTGCAGCTTACTTCTCCTGAACAGGACTCGTAACGTAGATATGCTACTGAACCGAAACCTATTTCAGAGGCATCCGAAAATAAGTGCATTGAAACTGCTATAGGACTGAAGGTCTGGGGTCGAAAACAACGTTGAACCTCTAGATCCTTAATTCTCTTAATGTCAACAAGCCAAGCCTCCCATTTGGCACCGATACTCACATCAACATGTTCATCCCACCCAAACTCACTTCGGCACAGGTGTTGCATTACTCTTTTAGGTGGAAGTAGTAGTGGGGCGACATAACCGAGTGGATCATATAAAGAAGCTATGCACGACAAGATTCCCCTCTTCGTTATCGGACGTACTGGCAGATTTACTTCAAACTTGAAGCAATCTGACTTGACACACCAGCATAAACCCAGTGTCTTCTCGACATTCGTCGAATCTTCTAAATGCAGTATGTTTGAGGACCGTTCACGAACGGGAATGTTGGATAACACTTCTTCATTGTTACTATTCCATTTGTGCAAACGAAATCCACCAAGAGAGGCGAGCTGACGCAGCTGGTTGGATAAAGCTATGGCTTCTGCTACTGTTTCTACTGAGACTAGACAATCATCCACATAGAAATTTTCTCTGACAGTGCTTAATGTCTTCTCGTCAAACAATTTCGCGTTGTCGATTGCGGCTCGTTTTAAAGCATAGGCTGCACAAAAAGGTGATGAGGTAGCACCGAAGGGATGTACGTTTAATTCATACAGGCTCGGTGGTAAGTCCAGTCTTAGATGAATTCTGAGAAGTAGTTCCACAGAAAGATGTTACCTGCATCAATGTATTAACCCCTTCCAGTCCTATTTGGCGGGCAACATGACTCAGCAGTAGTGTAGCATCTGAACCATTGTCAAGAAAGGCATAGGTATCTAGAAATCCTTTAGGACCTAAGATACGAATCGGCACATATCCTAAAAAGAAAGTTCCGGATTCCGTGCTAGAGTAGTTGACAGTTTTGCATGCTGAATTATCTTCATTGTGTAGAAGTTTATGATGACGTCTAGTGCATCCTACTATATCGCAACCTCTTGCTGCACGACAAGTGTCAGCTCGGTGATTAAGTTTCAAACAGTTGAAGCACACCTCATGCCGCATTGACACTGCTAGTCTCTCTTTGTGACTCATCGACAAAAAGCGTTGACAGTCCCATAAGTCGTGATCTGTGAAACAAACTATGCACGACTTCTGGGCTCGTGACTTCACGACATTAATACTGTGCGAAGGCATAGCTCTGGACATTTTATCATTGGACCCTACTTCGTTGTTGTTCCTATTCTCATTAGCTATCTGGCCGTAACAGCTTCTAGCCAATGACAGTTGCCTTTCGAGGAATTCTTTGAGGTAACGAAAGCTAGGTTCACCAAACTGTAAACCATCGTTTACCAATTCTGCCCACTTCCATCGTAGGTGCCGGGGAGACGTTGAACAATGCACTTAAGGTTGGTAGGGCAGTCCAAGTCTGCCATGTGATTCATCTGAGATAAGGCTATCTCACGATTGGTCATCTGTCTCAACAACCGTTGTAGCCCAACTATATCTTCAGGTTGCAGCTGTGGGCCTGACAGTAATTCGGAGAGGAAGGCATCCGAAAATGCATGAGGTTGGCCAAATTGACTTCGTAAAATCCCCATGGCTTTCCTATAGCCTACCTCAGAAGGCAGTAGAATGCAATGCTCTATGGCCTCCTTGGCTGTACCAACACAATTGTGTATAAGATGCATTAACCGTAGGTTGTCATCATTAGTTTGTTCTCCTATGAACATGTTAAAGCATCTTATAAACTTCAGAACTTAGTTGGTGTACCATCGAACTTATC